AGCAAGTCGAAGGTGCTCGGACCGAATTCGAAGTACAATCCCTCTTCTTGCGTGAACTGTTGCGCGAACTGGAACGCGGACACGAACGGTATTGCAATGTCTATCGAGGGGAAGAAAATGTACACGCGCCTCTTCGCGGAATGCGTGGTGGCAATCCCCGACCTTCAAAACCTCATGGTGGACGTCAACAATATCCAGGCCATGATCACGATCATACGGGAGCTCGTGTATTCAAGGCTGAAGAAGGAGCTTTCTCACGTGGGATTCGTGAGCATGACTGTGGATCAAGCAGCGCAGTTCTACAACAACGGTCACGGGAAGCAATTGTGCGCATCCCGGGATGTGATCGTGTGCAAGAATTCCGAGGGAGTCGAGGAGAGGATGTCCATCTTCTTGATAGGCAAGGATCTTGGCAATGTGGCATATTCGTCCTGGATCAAGAGTGTGCTCGACCAAGGAACGATGTATGAACTCCTGGGACAAACCACGAACGAGGAATCCTTGGGAGACGTCGTCGAGATGGTGTTGGGATTCTTTGAGGTGATGTCGTACTTCCAGCACGAACTGCCACTGTGGAAGGATGCATGGAAGATCAAGAGGGAGTTCGAGCAGTCAATAGTGCGACACCTCGCTGGGAACGTGACCCACACGACGGGCCAGAACAGAAAGCGGAACAGACCGTCCGCACAGCTCGGCGTGCCCACGAAGGAGGTGCTTGACATCATGAACAAGGTCAAGCCCAGACATCCACGATCCCTGATCACCGAGCCCTCTGCACAAGGTTCCAAGAGAAAGGCCACGGAGGGCGAAGATGAGGGTCTTGGTCAAGCACCAGACCCGAGTCGAAGTTCTCAAACCAATACTGAGAAGGAAGACAAGAAGCAGCGAGTGATCGACGGGCGGAGAGCGGCACTAGGATTCCTGGAGTCAATGGAGAAGTGCATGGGAGATATGGGGATCTGTAAGAAGTGCGCGAACCTGGCCCACGACGGCGACTGCAAGGACATTGAGGAGGCTGCTGGAAATGAGAAGGCGATGAAGGTGCTCCGTGAGCTACTCAGCAGTGACCCTATTTCATCTGATGAAGACATGGGGGATACGGAGGAACCGTCCTCATCAACGTCCAAGGAAAGAAAGAAAGGGGGACAAGCAGGGAAAGAAACAATTGAGATGTACAGCTACACTATTAATTTGGTGGAGATGGCTGACACGGCTGAGGGAGGAGAGCTACAATGTGGTGGCGTCGACCTCACCTACAACCCGTGCGGGGACAACAGGACATTCAAGAAGACGCTTGAGATGGGATGCGACACCATCCCGTGCTACATCCCGAAGTATGGCGATGTGAGTGATGTGCACTTGCCATGGGCGTATGCGTCCATCGTTGACCCCAAATACTTTCCCAAAGGTGCAATCCTTGAGCAAGTGGACGTGATGCAACTTGGCAAGAGTGTCAACTTCTGCATTGCTCCTTTCGACGGTGCTCCACTATGCAGGATTGGTGATGATCGCTCGGTATTTACTACAAGGGACCAAGCAAACCAGCTATCTCACGACCTATGCAGAGTCCTTCGACACAAGATCGGCAATTGCCGAGGAAGTGCTTTCAGGTGCGACGAGGGTGGATGGGTCGACATTGATGCTGTCATTGACGACCGGAACAACGACATATTCCCACCATACACCACGAGAGCGAAACGATACATGGGCATCATGGAGGTGATCAAGTGGCAGGAATCCGGAAGCAGAAAATCGAGATTCCAGGTTTTGGCAGCAAGGTTTCCGAGCATCATGAACCCGAACGACACGAGGGCAGCCAGGGAGGAAATGACCGAAGCTGGCGTGGATCGGGACGACATCGACAGGATGTTCAACAGATGCGATGGATGGTACAGACCTTGGTGCATCCGAGTCACAACCGGTCACAGTGATTTTGGATTCATGAGCTCATCCGCACTGGCGAATAGGTATTCCGCAAGAATGGGTGATTCTCTCGGAGGAGCATTCCATGTGACGTATGTGGAAAACCTGCCAAGCATCGTACGCTGTGGGTTAGTCCCCGGCGGAATCGATGGCGGCAACAGGCTAGCACTGCACTTCGGGGCGTTTGCTCCATGGGATGAGATGAACGTGGCGACGAAGACAACGCTACGGAACGTGAGGAGAGGGGATCCGATTGCGATCATCTATATTCCCAGTGCAACCCTCGCGCGGTATGGGGCTGGAGTCGCGGCTAATGGGACTTTCATGGTCTTTGACGTGATCCCGTTCTATGAGGTCAAGTCCATTTGGATTGGCAAAAGCAACGGAGGGAAGCGCCTGGAGTACGCTGACATCAAGAGGGCGTACTCGAAGTGTGTGGAGAACGAGATCTGCCCTGGCTTTGTCAACTCTTCCCAAGAGTCGGCTGCGATGTTCCTCCAGAACGTCGCAAAGATCAGCGAGAGGATGCCGGAGACTGAGACAGGTGCCGATAATCTGCACTACATCGTTGACATGGTTAATCGTGCCTGCGAACTCTATCGAATCAACAAGATGGAAGAGTTCAATGCACAGGTCAACGAGGTCCGGGACGAAATCAGCAAAGTCGTCATCCTGAATGACGAGACATGGGAAGGACTGAGGTGCCGGATATGTCCATCATGTGCGACCGCGATCCCCACCTGCTTCTGCTTATGCCTGGAGTGCGAGGCACAACTGATCTCCATCGGAAGATACTACATTCACATCAAATCCGATGACGAGGAGGACAACCAAAACCCCAACGTCTCTGGAGATGCCAGGCGTGCACAGGAAGAAGCTAACCACGATGCGGCAGCACAGGAGGATGAAGACGAAGCGGAGGAAGTTCCGGGAGAAGATGACGACATGGACACGCAAGGATATACATCCGGCTATGCGTCAGAAGAAGAAGACAGCGGTTGGCATTACCGCGACACCGATCTGGCGTCACGGGACATTATAAGTTCCCAACGGATGGCGATCTGCCTTGACGAGCCGCGTGAGGCTCAGTACATGGCAGGATTTATCGCACTCCAGCTGTCCAAGATGTGGGGGATGTTTGAAGGTGGTGAGGAGAGAACGATGAATGCCGGACTCGAAGGGAGGCCGGGCTGCCCTTATCACAATGACTTCAAGAGGTACCCCAACATCACCGAGCATGATCAGGAAGGTATACTTTTGCCATCAACAATAACGAAGATTTCTCAATCGGAGAATGTTCGGACAAGAGCCTTCCGATCGGTTGAGGAGCGTGACGAATATATTCGTATGATGGTGTGCAAATGCGAGGGACTTTACACATTCTACAAGCTGTGGATTGCAGCGAGAATCCTCGATGTCACCAAGGAAGAAATGAAGCTCCTGGTCAAGGACCGAGTGCACCCGGTGGGTGATATTATTTTCAGATGTTTTGCACTAGCTTTCAACTGTAAGTATATATCATTCGTGAGGGATGGCCTAAACCTTGGCAAGAATGGTTACACGGTCAACGTGAGCGCCATCATCTCGGCCATCGACCCGAACAAATGCGACACACCCCTGCTGGATTGGTGCCTTCGGAAAGGGCACTGGTTGCCAGAGGACTACAACAAGAAGTGTGTCCGGGCACGAGAAGCCCAGAAGAACTTGGACGAGGAGTTCCGCCGACGTACCCATAGGCTGTCCATTGGGGACAGGTATGCTTCGTGAAGATGCTGATTGCGGTACGATGTGGGTCAGTCCCCATCTGTTACTTGCGTCACATCGACACTGTTTCGGTGGAACGACTTATGTCATGATTTATATTCATGTGTCCAAGATGATTGGGTGTGTACATGGTTACATATTCCGATGACTATGACGCTCTGGATATTCATGGATGGAACTATTACCTTATAGATGATATCTTTTCATTATTTATGCATTGTCCATGGTATCTGGAATGGCTATGATTTGCATTGATTACTCACCGATGTTTCTTTGCCGGAATTATGCAGACCGATTGCGAGCAGGCGCCTCTGGTGGACTTTTTCGGCCAACCCATTTATGGATGACAGCTGCGCGATGCGCAAATGCGGCAGCTGGATTGTTCATTGGTGGTCAAATGACGCGACGATTGTGTATTATATACACCTGCATATGGATGTGTGCTTCGATTGGAGGATGAATGTTTCACTTTCGTACAATCGAACCCGGCATGTTTCACAGCGAATGAACGGTGTAGTGATAGCAAGTAAAAGAATGCACGACACGATTTCGTAGTTGAAGCCGTGGCCAGTGGAACGTTTTGTGGTGTTTGGACCGCATGATGAACAATGCGACCCAAATGGGGGATGTTAAAACCCTCTAGGCCCCGTGCCGAAATTGGGTAGCTGTTCTGAGGTCCTTGTTGGTGTTGCTTCCCAAGTTCCATTGATCGCCATTTGGCTCAAGACACAATTGAGGTTCAAGATCTGATGTGTGACTGCATACATACGTGATCGGCATTGAGAGCGAAAACACTTCGCTTGCGCTGCATTTGTCAGGACCACTGTTGTAACTATCATTCCTTCTCCCTTACAACGTTTACACGGGTTCGGCTATAACGGCATCGTCCGTATACACCTTTCTACGTGGTTGGTATTACAGCTTGAGGGTTCGGTGCATAGCGTCCCACGGGACGTCACCTTGCCGTCTCTTGACATTGCGGTTAAACAGGATCCCCCGTTTGTTATCTGTGTGGTTCTTTGCCAGCCGAGGGCACCACTTTGCCCTTGGGACTGGGGGGCTTAAACTGTCTCTTCTTGTTGGTGGGTTAGGGCCTGTTTATTCTCTCCCGAAATACTGTTTCAAACCCTTTCGCAAAACTGAATCAAACTTAATTTAAGCATGTGTGATTAGGTCGTTGAATCCATTTTGCCTTTGTGGATGGACGAAATTTTGCACCACCTAAGAAGTCCTGGAATAAGAATTTCCCGATGAAAACCAACGCGCAATGGTTTTCCATGGTTTCAAACGGCCGTCCGCGTTGCCTCAGCCAGGTAACGATGTGTCCGAGGCGCCTTGGCTCGGTTCTGGTGCAGTGTAGGGCCTAGTTCAGACTTGTCCGGACTGGTACTCTTAAGTTCTTCGCGGGCGAGATGCCACGTAGGCCCCCTTCTTTGGAGGGACCGCTAAGCGGGTGTTCAAAACTCCGAATGTCACACAAATCCGCCAAGCTCGTCCTGGATTTTCAAATAAGTCCTGTTTTGCAGGCGAAGTGTCATGTGCGGAAATAAAAAAGAATAAAAACAAAAAAAACTAGGCCGCGGAAAAGATTCGTTTGGGCGAGTGATCGTCCAGTTGCGAGTCACTAGAGCCCTGGTTTGCCTGACCAAATGGCTTGTGAATGTCTGAAAGGGAGCCAACCAGGGAGGTCCATTTGGCGACTTCTTAACGCCCCCTCACTCGACTGCACCTTGAATTGGGCCCTTACGGCCCACTTCGGGCGGGGGAAAGGCCTTAGGACCTGCGGATTTACCTCCGAATCGGAATCGGGCTCGAAATTCAGACAGCTACATCTGGAAAGTATGGTTGACTCAGGATTGAAAACACCCACTGCTTGATTTTGATTGGGAGGTGCCCCCATCACTTTTGGAGGGGGCTCCCCTAGTTCTGGACAGCCTGCTGAGGCCATGGCATGTTGGAATGAAGGTCAGAGAGCCAGCCTCCCACAGCAAACATGGAGCCTGAAAGGGGGCCCTCGTTCAGGTTCTACATTCGTTGTGATTCGTTGTTGTGTATTGAAACAGTTGTTTGTGGTCTTCTTCCTTGGAGGGCAGTCTTATTTACTCAGTTGTCCAAAGTCGACGCGGTAGTGTTTTGCGTTCTTTCTCTTGGAGGGATGGTGCTGGTTTTCTGGGTTGCTCCACTTTAAGCCTCAAGCCTGCCAGATGGGTTTCTGGGTCTTCCTGCGGTCCTGATGACGGATTACTGGGGTCTCCTGCAAAATGATGTCTGCTTGGGCCACTAAGCAGCGAAAAAGTCGATCACCTCAATTCGCACGCGGATTGAGCCATGCGAGCCGTCCAGTCTAGGTCATGAACGTTGACATGCGCAGCCGCACCGCGATGTTCCCGGCAACCCTCGCCAACGCCGCGGACGGCACAGGCGCGGGGGCTTGGGGCTGGGCCCGAAAGAAGGTCCCAGTCCACATCCCAGAGGATGGTGTGTTTGAAGCATTTTCGATGTTTCCGGTCGGTCAAGGAGAATAATCAGGGGGGGGGGGGGGGTTATATGAGTTCCAGTCAATGCGGGAATTCATAGGTCTTTTGTGGGATCCATTCAAATCACCAGGAGCCAACCTGTATAAAATGAGCTCAATTTGAAGATGCTTTGCTTCATTTTCCAGTGGGTTTGTCTCAAAGCGGGGGAACGCCCCCGAAAAATTGGCAGGTTCCGTTTGGTTTAACTTTCAACCAGCCTCGAAAGCGTTCCCTCAAAAAGACACACACACACACACCTTTATCAGAACGTCCTCCTGCATTTTGTGTGACACTCCCGGTCTGAAAATGTGCGAAGTGACCCGTAAAGCGGTCAATTCCGGCCTAGTTTCACCATGGTTGCAACCACGGCCGGATGGCGAGGATGTTTTCTCATAATCCCTTTCGTCTTTTTTTGGAGGAGCTGGGGGTAGGGTGGGGTGGGGTGGGTGGGGTTGGGGTGGGTGAGGTTGGGGTGGGTGGGGTTGGGGTGGCAATGTTGCGGAAGTCTTTCTACAAGTCAGTGGCCAACAAATGTTTTTTTTCAGCCAAGGCAGCCTGCAGCCTTCCAGAACTGCGATGTGGATCGCTCCGGATGTCACCTGGGCCCAAGATTGAATGATTGGGTCAGGGTGTGTCGCCAAAATGTGCCCCTGACCGCAAGCAACAAAAACGCACCCTCAAGTGTCTGGTGACATTTCCCCTTGGAACCAGCCCAATGTTGAACTGCTTTTTGCAGTGGGTTTACTCCAGTTCATGTGGGTTGTTTCGGGATGGTATATCCCCCTCAAGGGACATATGTGCCCTATTCTTGTTGGAAGTGGTATATACTTATAACCTGCACGTGGAAAGAACCTGCCCAAACATTGCCTTGCTCACAGTCTGTGTTGGCTGTCGAGATACTTGTGAGGTCCTTATGAACAGCGTCATTCTCCATCTTCAAGCCCCTCTATTTCACTCTGACTCACGACCCCGATTGTTCCGTTTCTTGGGCAAGTTACCGGCTCATCCTGCTTTGGCTTTCAAATGCAATGCTGATTCACGTGAGCCACAGAAAAGAACGGGGTGGGGCGTACGATTTTGCCTAACACCGCGCAAAAAAATGTTCAATCCGATAGGGCCTGTCCCAACACTTCTCCTTTGCAAGTACAAGACGTGCCCCGAGCCTCGAATCTTGACCGGGGCCTTTTCTTGAGACTGTATGACATGGTGCACGAAATCCAGCCTCAAAGACCCTCTCTCAAAAGCGACTCAACATGTTCGAACATCGCTGGTGCGGCACGCAACAGGAAGCCGTTTGCCTGCGTCACTTGCTAATTCAGATCCTTGGTGGAGGACACCACAAAAAGGCACCCAGCGGAAGCCGTGGGGATAAAACTAGCTTTCAAATCACGTCCGTGATCCCTCCGTTAAAAGGGGATTTACCCCGAAGAATTGGTGAATAAATCAATGCATTTCTGGCAGAATGCGAAAGCCACCAACCAATCAGTTGACCCAAAAGCGAGCTCGGTGGATTCCGGTGGATGATCCCAAGTAACGGGAAGAAGGGACGTCTTCTGTACTCCTTCAATCTTGATTTACCCAGGTGTTGTGGTTGGTGGACTCATTCGGACCTTTGAGGATGAGGATGATGACATCTACGTCCGCTCCCGCACTGCGATGCTGCCTCTTGGAGACGACCCCGCAGGCCCACAGAACCCGAGTCATGGTCATAGAAGCAACACACTAGCCATAAACTACCAAGTTGACAAGGCAAGCTGGAAGGAATCAAGACTCTTGGGTAGGACATGGTGATTTGTTTCATCAGCCATGAGTCAACGTCTGTGCCGATCGGGAGCAACCTTGAAGGCCGGCGGTTTGGGGCTTAAGTAAGTGTGTAGCCAGAACATGCCAGGACCCCCTCCTTTTTGTGGTTCCACGGAACGCTCCTCTGGGGAACATTGGAGTTCACGCCCCAAAAGACGACTCGCCGCAAACAAGATGGTATAGGAACCAGCTTTTGGGTGACCGCCCTTCATGTTGAATCTGGGTGTTTCCCAGCCACACGCTTAGGTTGAAATGTTTAGTGTTCAGATTTATGACGGACCCCGCTAAAAGCGTTAACTACCTTCAGCTCGGGCTCAACAAACCACTCTAAGTGAAGCGGGGTTCTAAATGGCATTGAATGGGCCATATGTGTCAAGTTCCCCCAACGGAACACAAACAATCGATGGGCCATAAGCCACATTTTTCTTCCAGACCCTCCATTTCAACCGAAGGGCACCGATCGTGCCACTTGGTACCAGGAACCACGGACGAGGATGAGGCTCGGGAAGTGAACAAAAAAGCAATGCCACTGATCGTTGGTACTGATTGGAAGGTGTAACATTTTGTTTGCTTGCTTGCTTGCTTGCTTGCTTGCGTGCTTGCTTGCTTGCGTGCTTGCGTGCGTGCGTGCGTGCGTGCGTGCGTGCGTTGTGTGTTTGTTCCCTTGTGCTGTTTGCTGCTTGCTTCCTTGCTTCGCTTTCTTTGTTTTTGTTTGCGTGTTTGCTTGCCCCAAAGAAAACCATCTTCTCCAGGCCCCGGAACCTTGACGCGATGCTGAGACAATCTAAGTCTTTTGATTCTGATTATGAAGATATCGAGCCTTGAGACGGTGCAACACGCTTGGGTTCCCTGTGTGCGTTTGTTTATTGGTAAACGATTCACCGCAAAGCATCCCGTGACATGAGCTGAAGGGCGAGCGCGCGCCGTTTCTCAGTTGATGCACTGGGGACCGATGTTCCAATCGCCACGCTAGTTTTGGCGCACTCGATTCGGTTTGAACCTGCCTTCTTGGACCTGGATGCTTCTGACTCCGACCCTGGGGTATAACAACCAATGCCTTTTTGCGCTTCTACTCGGATGTTCAACCCAAGGAACTTCTCAACACGCTAAGTGGCGCAACCCGTCTTAGTCGATGTCGAACCATCGCTATAGCGCAATTGAGTGGGTCGAATCGCAGGATTCAAACCCCCCAATGCCCCTTTCCCCTTCTCCAACTATGGCTTGGTAGGTTCTTCTTTGGACAGAGCAAAGGGATGTTTGGGAGACAGGGGGGGGGGGGGTGACGTTGACTCTTATGAAACAGTTGGGTGAGAGTAGGTGTCGCAAGTCCAACCTAGTTTTTGTTTAGCGACTTCCTTTACCCGTATTTGCAACAAAGTGCGCCATCCACTTTCACACTGCTCAGCCTGTTATAAGTCATAAGTCCTAAACACGTGGGTTCACAATTATACTCCCTTGACAATCCTTGACAACCAAACACAAGAGTGATGCAAGCCCCGGCCGGCTTTCCGTGTCAGGCGGATTTGGTGGATCTCGGCACGCGCTCGCGCACCGCCATGCTGCCAGAGCCGGAGACAGAAGGCCGCGAGCGCAGAAGAGCCCACAACCCCACCACTGATCTACAGAGGACATGAGGGTTTTGGCCAGTACACATGAGCGCTCACATGATCTCACATGGTAAAAGGAAAATCCCGAAAAGTACCCGTTTGGAGCGGTGTTTAAGGAAAGCACAAGGAAAGCAACTTTGGCAGCCCCCAGTTGTTTGACACACACCCCTCAAATGGCCTATTTTATGTGGCGAGCTGAGCCCGAAAGTAAGCGTCGCGTGGTGACCTAGACATGGGACTCCAATATGGACTGAGCCATGACATCGCAGGTGCCGGACATTTGAACCGAAACGGGAACAAATTTGTCAATCAGACGAGTGCGCTCTCCAACTCCGCTGAGTTTGCAATTCGCAAGGGTACCACTTGCCGGTCCGTTTGCTAGTTTCTGCGCAGACCCTTTGCTTTGCCATCACCGAGTTCTGGACGCAACAGAAGAGAGAGAGAGAGAGAGATACATATGCATATAGACACATTTGTTTGACAACAAACTATCTACACACATATGTAAACATTTACGGGTATATGAAATGAATGTGGGTGTGTGTGTGTGCTTGCACGTGTGAGTGACATATGTACATGTATTCATTTGCATTTACATATGCATATGTGTGTGTTTGTGCGTACGTATTTGCATGTGTGTGCGCGTTTGTGGGCCAAGCCTTCCAGGCCGGCCGAAGCCTTCGAGGACTGCGATGATGGAGGAGTGCCTTGGACCGTTGGACTGAGCATGGGATGAGTGCCCAGAGATCGGGGGACCCACCGAGTCCCGAAAGGGTGGGTCCTTCTGATGTTTGGTTTCCGGTCCACATGTGGTCAAGGTTCCAGTGAGTGAAGGGCACCTTGCCTTTTGTGGTTTTTAAGGGAAACCAACAGGAAAGCCGAGATCCATTTTGGTGACTCGATGTGGGTGATTTGTTTTGGAGCTCCTTTTGTCCAGATTAGTGGTCCGGTTCCACCGAGGCGTTAAACAATTGTAACCATGGGCGATGCGGGTACCAGGGGAAGGACATTGGTTCGGCAACAGCTTGAACAGGTGCTTAAGCATGTTGGGGTGGGCAAGTCAGATTCCATTTTCGAGAGCGACTTGGTTGTGGGACTGAGCAGTTAGGGGATTGATATTTTTGGGATTGACAGCATGGCATCCCTTTTGGATTGGGATAGTTGGTTCATCCAGTTCTCCCCTGCCGAGCCCGGGACCCGGGCGAGTTGGAGCCCCGATTTCCTGGTTGGTCAGGGGGTCCCACTCGGAGAGGAGGTATTTCACTTTGGCGAAGATCCCTAGCGAGAATACACTCACACAAACACACCCACCCAGTACCCAGTTATATTGTGATAGTTTTACATCAATACACATTTTTCCACATGCACAAGACTGTACAGATGTGTTCAACAAAAATATGTGTGCATGGGTGGTTGGGGGGGGCGGTTGGCAACGACAACCTGCAAACTCTTGTCAGTGATGTGTTGTAGAAGAGCCAAAACTTTGGCCAACTCCCTACGACTGAGCCTCGGGGGCTTTTCAAGCACACCCTTTGGAGGATCCACCTCCACTATTCCAACAGGCAATGAAGCCGGCTGCAATGGCTCCCCTTGCTATGGTTTTGTCTCAAAGCAGTTCCTGCAAAATACCGTGCGAGTGTGTGTGTGTGTTTCCCTTTGGTTTCCCTTTTTAAGCCGCCCCAAAAAAGGGTACCGAGCCTTCTCAGGGGGACACCCCTGCCCATCAGTTGGGCGAACCGACAGCGAGGCCAGATTCAAGCACCGACAGCAGCCGCTTCCGACGCCCCTTGGAAATCGAGTCTTTGAAACCAGGAAAACGACATTGGGATCGACTATTTTGCGCAAAAATCCAAACCGGGTGGTACATAGACAACAAGTGGAAACACTGATTTGTGTGCTGATGCCGTGGATGGACAAATCTGCTTCGCACCTGTTTGCCTCGGAGGAACCCCCCCCCTTCAGGTGGATTCCCCATGGAGAATCGGCCCCCAAAAGGGCCTCATCGTTTTCTACCAAGGTCACTAAGCATCCGCGACAGCAAGCGCTGTTTGTTTGTTTGTTTGTTTGTTTGTTTGTTTGTTTGTTTGTTTGTGTGTTTATTTTTATTTTGTTTTTTGGGGGGGTTGCTGGGAAGGGGGTCTTGATGTTACTCGCGAAGCGGGGGTGCCTTTTGACCATGTCAATCAACGGCTTGACACTGTCACTCTGAAAATATGGTCATATGTTGACGGTTCGTATGTTCCACAAGGGCCCGGGCATGTGTGACATGTTATTCGCCGAGTCTCCGTGGGCAAGGGAGCTTACTTTTGCACACTGTGTTTTCCTCTTTTGGTGGTGTTCTCACCCCCGAACAGTTGTTTTGTTCTGCTAGTATCACTGGGCCAGGGTGTGTGTGAGGTCATGAGTTTCAATACGGCTCATATACTATGTGTGCTTCTTTGGTTAGGATACCGTTTTTTGGTTGTAAAGGACAGCCAGTAGAAAAACAGCTTCTTCTTCTTGCTTTCTTTGGTGAGGGGGCATGCAGGGGGGGGGACCCTAAAAATAGACTGTATATTATATGTATATAGCTATATATATATATATTTGTATGTATTTAAATATACATACATTATGTGCACACATGTGTACATACATATATATATATATATATGTATATTCACAGACTCAGGGAGCCCTAAGCCGGGCTAGAATAAACGGGATCCGCTTGCACCAAGGGACAACAATGCATCGACCATCCGGAAGGATCCAATTGCTTACAACCCATTTTAGCATCAACCAACGTATCTCTATATATATTCCACCCAACGACATTTGTGATTCTACTTCTACAACCACACCGGCTCATGCATACATGTGCAGAGCATATCAAGTTTATGGTGCTCTTGGGGCAACACGAGCTCACCATGATGATGTTTTTCTAATTGGATCCCTTACTTCAGGTCTTGTGTTTTTCCTAGAACCTGCATATAGGCCTCATCTTTGTAGCGTGTGTTTTCAGCAGGCCAAATGCACATGACCCAGGCTTGCTGAACGCTTTGCGGCCGTAGGCGCGTGTCTTTTTACAAGTCCCCCAAAGCCGGTGGCCCCGGAAGAAATGTTTGGCTATACACTTGAGTGAGAACCCTCCAAACAAAACTTGCTGGTGGGGGAATGACTCTGGATTTCCTTGAAGGAATCCGTAGGCCCTACTAGGCAATGGTTTATATGCGTCATTACCTCATTCCCTGCTGCGCACCAGCAAGTTTAGAAGGACTCGGATCCTTTTGGTGAGTCTTGCGCCCCAAAGAACTCCTAACTCCTGAAGCCGATCTAACCTTCGGGGCCTGTGGTTCCTTCAGAGGCAACTTCAGGCATTCCAAACGGAGAGGCGGCCCGTTTGAACCCAAGAACCGTTGGCCCCGTGGTTTCAAGACTCCTGGATTTCCGAAACTTGGACTGAGAAAACTGTCCGGGACCATAGTAAATTCAGCCTTAAGTGAGGGATCCTCTTTTTTCCAACCAAATGAGGATGGATCACGTGGTTTCTCGTGCGTAGGCCTTAGGATTCTCAAGGCTTGTCTCCCCTTCTCTCCACATTTGGGGGAGCCGGAGGGGGGGAGCTGGAGGGAGGGCGGTGAAGTTGCGACTGGTGGAGTCCCACTCAGCGTGTCGGAGACGTGAGACGTCTCCGGTCACGCATCGCCGGCGACATTTCTTTGTTTTGGGCTTGGTCTTTTATCCCGAAGCCCCAATGGACAGGTCATGACATGCCATTTGGCTATTCTTCGCCAGTGAGATGGGCATGTCAACTGACTCACCGAGCTTCGAGACCCCACCTTGCGCAACCAAAACCTACGATCCCAACCCCATGACACCCCTCCATAACCCATGCCTCACAAGGCCGGGCCCTGCGGCTTCAACTGCCCATTGAAACCCCGGTGGAGCAACAAGCATCTTCTTGCCTCGCCTGCTCAATTTGGAAGGGCCCAAATCCACCAAGCTTTAGGGAAGCGCTGGAGATCTGGAATTGGGAAAGTCTTGAGACGGTTCTTGGCTTAGAGCAATTCACCGCGTGAAAGGTAAACGTCAGGAGCTATGCATGTGTTTGCCTCCCTTCATACGAGTGCAGTGTCAATGGCATTTTTTGCTGGGCTCACGGGGCGGAACCTACATCACACTTTGGGCCAGTTCCAACGATAGTTCAGAGGGATAAGGGCAACTGGAAGAGATCCCTTACACGGTGGCTATAGGGTGACTGTGCACCCGGTGTTCCATTTGCGGCTTGGGGCAGAGAAAGCTATGTTGGAAACAAGCGTGCCAGGCGCCCCTCGGATCTGAAAGTTTCTTTGGGATTCTGGATTTGAAGTATGTGACTAGCGGTTTGAACTGCTTCAGGCTGGCCTTGTCTTTCAAACATGTGATAGTAGTTGCAGCTCAGGCAATCCAAGTGCAGAGAACCCTTTTCAGGTCCCATTTAATCCTTAAAGGTGTCATTGGATTTTTGGGGCCGGAAGCAAAGAGTCCTGATCGGTGGCTCGTCCCACGTACTCGCCAGGCTTTGCGCCTTACCCCGAGGATCGGGGCCCGGCGTTGCTGCGGGCACGCGTGCGAAACTCTGGCGCGGATCCGCCTGTGGATCCATGGGTGAAAAGGAGCACCATGAATTGCGGTCCGGACGTGCGCGACTTTTTTCAGGCCACAAAGAGTTGTGTGTGTGTGTGTGTGTGTGTGTGCCCGTGTGCGTGTGCGTGTGTGCATGCGTAAGAGCAAGGGTTGGAAGCTAGCTGCCAGGGAAGTTGGTGTTCTGACGCATCCAGATCGATGGAAGCAAAGGGTTCGCGGCGTGTGTTTGTTGTGCTCTTCCAAGAATGCTTCCCAAAACTTCAGGAACTGGATGACTTCCCTCCGTCTGCGCCGTTATTTTTTTGTGAGCAACCGACCATGCAGGAGACAATTCTTGCTGTGTGCCAGGGCCTGCCGGACCACCCCCAAATAAAGCCAAAGAGGGTCTCGCGAGAGAGGGAAAGGGTTTTTGGGGGCTGGTGGGGCCCTTGATTTGTACAAAGCATCTGTGGAAAGGAGCAACATGCGTGCCCGCGGGAAAGCTCGCAAGCTTGCGCTCAGCTTGAGGATAGCTACGCGGCCTCAAAAGGTCTCTTGGGTGCAAAGAGTTGTAGCCTTTTTGGTGATCATCTTTCAATACACCAGGTCGTTTGGCCTGTGGTCACCTTTGATTCAACCAGGCCCTTTGGTACGTGATCACCTTTCATTCAGACCTTTTAATTAGCTACAATATCCCCACCCTTCCCCGAAGTGCTGTAGATGGAAGGGGGTGCGAACCTGTCCCCAATAAAGCGACTGTCCCTTACAACCCGGCATTTTTCCGGAACGTGAGAGCTCGCGGGGAACAATGCATGAGGAAGGGGGCAGCACGTGTCTCCCAAATACAAGCATCAGGAGAGAAATAAACATCCCTTGAAAGGGAGGACTATAAGCAGGGTACTAAGCCAAATTACGCCATGATCGTAGGCAAGTAATGTTTTCAGTCCTTTGCCCCTCAAGAGACTGCCAATTGCCCCACTTCAGAGCAAGTGTGGCTCGACTGACGGCCAGGCGGAATCGCCTTGAGGCTTTCCAAACAGATCGTAGTACGACGTAGTGCTTCTCAAAAACGCGGAACCTGTTGTTTGTTGAAAGGAAAGCCAAAGTAAACTAACTACTTGGGGGACTCCTATTTTGAGAGACACCCATATTGCGCTTGAGACATGGAACGCCTCACATCCGACCGCTTGGGCCAGCCGGCTTGTACAGAAGGGCTCCTCAGCGAACCACTCGCAGTCGTACTTCCGGCCCAAATGAATGTGAAACCCGGTCATCCAGCAAGCAGGCCCCTCTTCACACGATTCCTAATTCTTCTCTTGGGTTCATTGCAACCGTCGGGATTTCTGGGGCGGGTGGGAGCGATTCCAAGACTCTCAAGCAGAAGTCGTTTAAGAGGAGAAGATGGATAAGCTTTGAGACAATCCTATAGTCTGTAGAGGGTGGAGGTGAGTGCCTGGATGCAAGGCAATTGTTACAAGCTCACTCACGATGAAGGTCCCGAATTCCTTGGCGATTCCTTTTGTCCGATCCGTGTGCAGTTGGTGGATTACCCCCTCAGGCGAACGGAAGCGCTTGCGACCCAGGAGCCCCGATGCTTTTGAGTGGCCACAAGAGCACCCTGCTCTCGGGCCAACTGGATTGGCTTGGCTCACAATAGAAACGGGGGACCCTGTGTTACCATTTACGGCACCCTACCCCTGCCACAGTCCATCCTAGTTTAGGGTTGTATGGGAAGCCAGACGCGTCCTTAATCAAACAGCCAGCGTAGCGGCTTGAACTCTCGAGCCTTTCCGAGAGCCGAGCCATTCCGAAAAGCCGCCACGTGCTAAGCCTGGGCGGCGAAAATCTCACTTTCGACTTGTGGCGCCATTTCTGCTCCAATCTTGGATGCTCTTCTCATGGACAATCCGTAGAGGCTTGGGTCAATCGCCGCATGAACGGAAGGATGCGGTTTTTGGGCCCATAAGTACAAGCCATAAGAATGATGTTTCGTCTTACGTCGAACGAGATTCTGACTTCAAACTCATTGGGAAGTTCATGATATTTCCTGGCGACGAACACATCAGAATTCATTCAAGATGTTTTCGTATTCGGTCAGCCCTTTGACCTTGAAATTGTTGGAAAATGCGTGGTGTTGTCCACCAGCAGCAAGTTGTGGCCTTGTAATACTCAGCTTTCCCATGCTTTCCCAGTGGGATTGAGGTTGCTAAGTCTACTCAGCTTCCCTGTTTTTATTATTTTGGTTTGTTTCTTGATTTGTTTGCGTTTTTGATTTATAAGGTTCACTGAATGTGAACTATAACCAGTCCCCCCCCCAACCCGGGGGTTCTCCAAAAGGGTGTCCGATTCTATTTTATGACACCCAGCTGGTGGTTTGAGCTTGTGAGTTTAACGGCTTTGCTCGTGTTTAGCATGCTTTTAGGTTCTAGCTTGGTCGGTTCTGTTCATGTTTAGTAGGGGGGCCGCAAGAGACACGGTTTTGTTTTGCTACCATACCAAGAGTTGGACAAAATGCCCACTGTAAAATATCGAGGTGCACGTGCTTCACGTAGGTTCTCCAGAAAAAGGGGCCCCCTGTCAATTTGCAAAGTTCTAGAGCCCGAGGTCGAACTATGGTTTGTGGGGGGCCATGCTGAGAATCTAAACCTTGCTGGTGCGATAGGGAATGACCCTCCGGGTGTTGGGAATGAACCAGTCGGATGTTTTATGGGGGGCATTTTCCAGTTCTACTTCCCTGCATTCGCACCAGCAGGCGGCGAGGCAAAGGTCTGATTGCTGCCGTCTCGAGGCCACCATGATGACTCGCCAAGGCGAGTGGAACTGATGATTGGTCTAAGCAATCCACGCGAGGGCTGCTCGATGTTTCTTCCCTAGCTCTAAGGGAAGCCTATGACTTATATCAAACACATGGGCGTGGTTCCTCTTTCGAGTTGGTGCTCCTTTTTGGTTGGACGAAAAGGGAAGCCAAAAGAAAAGGCACAAAGGATGAATACGGGCGCCACACGCGGCTGCAACACATGGCAGCAGATCGTCCCGGCCTCGTGACAACTTTGTAAAGAGACTGGAATTAATTCCTTGCGCGTTTAGTTGGCAAGGAAGAGTGCTGAACTGTCATTCCACAAAAGGAACTCAAATCTCTGCAGTTGGCAACCTGTTTCAACTTGCCCGATGAACGTGCCTCGGGCGCTGCGCCTGGCAGATTTCTTCGCAGCGGGCTTTCCCTGAATTCAGCTGGGGAATCATTCTAGCCGTTACCCTTTAACTTTCAACCCGGTTTCCTGGAGCATTCCAAAACCCACGAAAGCTGGTCAGCTCTAGAAGGGATTCCTGTATTTTATGTGCCGGCTTTGAACATCTTGCTGTGTGGTGAGCTTACTTGAGTACCGCAAGGTTGTTGACAAGGGGACGTCCAGGTAACTTGCCGCCCAAAAAGCGGGGCGCTGAGATTTCTCAGGAGTCCCAAGGCATCAACCAGCTGTCCGTTGAGCCAAGCCGATTCGGTCCCTTGCTGTTGAGTTGGTAGCGCTGTCCTTTTGTGGTCTCACTTCCTGAGTTCATGAACTTTAGACTTTTTGGGAAGACCATTCTAGTGGAAAACATAAAGTTTGGACTTTTTTTGGGCCATCCACTCGGCCACCAAAACAGGAACACCGAAACCACTTTGGAGGGGTCCCCGAAAAAAACAAATGAACACACCCACGTGAAGGTCAGTAAGGGACCGTTCCAACCACAAACGGGTGCAGACATCCGCCCGATGCCTCAGGTGTTGCAATTTTGGGGAAGGGAAAATTTGATGAGCCCTGACTAGGCCGCACATTTATAGCTTGCAGAAAGTTGAAACGCTTCAAAGGGCTGAAGGCTCAACCCTCCCCGGCTGTCTTACCGCCGCGCGCCGGCATCGGAGTCCCTCGAGAGAGAGTTGGATTCCCAGCTGCGCCCAGTGCTACGGGCAAAAGATGGCAACCAAAAGGGGCCGAGTCAGTGACTTGAACTTGCTGGCGCGATAGGTAGGGAATGCGGGAATGAACCCTGGCATTCCCTTAGGAGATGGTTTATAGGGGGTCATTCCCTCATTCCCTGCTAAGGCCAAAATGCAGCTGGCAATGTGCTTGAATTCCCCTCAACAGAAGCTTGAGTTTTGGTCCTCTGCAATTCAGACGTCCTATGTAACACGCGGGACGCGCGGCACGGGTTTCAGTTATATGCAGGTTATATTCCACGAGCAGGAGGTCAAATTCTGACATTGGCCGGGGCATCCGAATCCCGGGGTGTTGGGAAGGGCCAGCGTTTTGCCCATGTGGCGTCTTGTAAGCGGTGAGCGGCAAAAGACAATCTCCCAGCCGAGTGGATTCCAAGGGAAGCCAGCTTTTGGCTCCATGCTTCTCGGTCCCCCTGCTCCACCAAATGTGACGTGTTGTTTTTTTTGATTTCTCTAAAAGGCAAGCTTGAAAAAGGTTCTCCAAAAATCCCGCGCTCTGCTCGCGCGACCAAGCAATCTTGGCTTGCCTCAAGCCGCCGCGCTCGCAGAGCGTGTGCGTGCCGGAAGAGGCAGGTGGGGGGCATTTAGGCATACGCCGTACGCCGAAATGCTAAGGGGGGAGTTCCAGACATTCTAGAAGGGACCTTTCACGTTTTGTTTGTGGGGAAGCATCCGCTATTAATCCACCAGGTTGCCACCTCGGGGACACACACAAACAGCCAGGGGTAGAACGATCCAACTTGTCAGGCATGACAACTTTTCGTTGCTGATTGCTCAGGACCACGAACCGTCGCATCTTGATTCGTGGTTGAACCATCTAGCATTTCGGAGAAAAAACCGAGAGAACCCTGCTGTGGATGCCAATTTGCGTGGGGAATTCGGTTCAACACCAAAAAAATTAAGGGTAAGGCAGCTTGATGCGCATGCTGAAAGGGGTTTGGGGTCATCTAAGCAGAAATGAGTCTTGGCCGCCAAGAGGAAAGGGCTTGAACTGCTTTCCGGGAAAAACTTAACTATGAAACCGCCTCTTCTGTACGAGCAACATGCGTTGTGTTGGAGCCCAAATTCTGCTCGTATTTTGGCAGATTGGGCTTGCGTTTGCGGCAATTGCGAGTTTTCACAAAGAAAGCAGTGATCTGCAACAAATCCTGCATGGGCACATTTTTTAGGGTTTTGGCCACACGCTACATAATACGGAGCAGAACGTGTTTTTCTTGGTAGGCGTTTCTCAGAGGCCCCAGGTTCCCCGTGAACCAACTCCGAACAAGCTCCGAACGAACAACTCCGAACGAACTCCGAACAAGCTCCGAACGAACTCCGAACGAACTCCGAACGAACTCCGAACAAACTCCGAACGAACTCCGAACGAACTCCGAGCGAACTCCGAACGAACTCCGGACAAACTCCGGACGAACTCCGAACAAACTCCGAACGAACTCCGGGCGAACTCGGAACAAACTCCGAACAAGCGAACAAGCTCCGAGCGAACTTTGGCATTGTTCCCGAGCCAACTCCGAACACACTTTGGCCATAAGTATGTTTTTGAGCCCAGGTATTTTGGTGGCCAAGCTGTTTTTTTTGCTTTTTCGGGCTTACCAAAAGAGGCCAAGTGATTACAGGGGCCAGTTTCAACAAGTGGCCTGGGAAGGTGTTTTTTGAGGCAAACAAACATGTTCTCAGGCCACTTGTTGAAATTAGTTCTTTTGGTCACTTGATTTTCCTATTATGTATGTTTCGGGCTGGATTTACTTCCCGGACAAGCGCCAAACAAACTTTGGCCATATTAATCTTTTGGGGAGCTGATTTTGGTGTGTCGGCCTTAAGTTTCAGTTTTTTCGGCTTTGTTTTATTTTATTGCCCTTTTTTTTTCAGGCTGTGATTTTTGCTTATTGGTTTTTTTTTTTTTTTTTTTTCCGGGGCTTAATTCTTGCCCCAGGCGAACTCCGAACGAACTCCGAACGAACTTTGGCCTTAAGTTTTTTTTTGGAGCTTATTTTTTTTCGGTGTTGAACTTTTTGGGTTTTGGTCGTACAAAAACACTGGAATTACAGCTTGTTGATGCGTTTTTCGTACAAATTTAGTGTTACCAGGGCAAAAACACATTGAAACATGCTTAATCCAGGCTTTTCATGCAAGAAAACAGCTATTTCATACGACCAAAATCGGGCAAGCCATTGCACAAATCGGGCAAACCCTTAAGTTCAACACCGGTGTTGAACTTAAGCTCTTTTTTTTGGAATAATATTTTTTCCCGGATTAAGCCTTGATCAAAAGGATTAAGCTTTGTTTCAGCTTCAACAGCGAGCCTCAGCGTCAACCAAGCTGCGTGATCACCCCGGTAGCGATTTTAGCCCTCCGCAGCTCTGAAGTCCTACAAATCCGGCCCTGAACTCCTTCCCAGGCCACTTGTTGAAACTGGCCCCTGCAATCACTTGGCCTCTTTTGGTAAGCCAGAAAAAAGGCAACAAAAACAGTTTGACCGCCAAAATACTTAGGCTCAAAAACATGCTTATGGCCAAAATGTATTCGGAGTTGGCTCGGGGGTTTGTTCGGAAATCAACCAATGACAAAGCTTGCTCGGAGCTTGTTCGCTTGTTCGGAGTTTGTTCCGAGCTCGCCCGGAGTTCGTTCGGAGTTCGTTCGGAGTTTGTCCGGAGTTTGCTCGGAGTTTGTTCGGAGTTCATTCGGAGTTCGTTCGGAGTTCGGAGTTCGCTTGGAGTTTGTTCGGAGTTGGTTCACGAGGAACCTGGGGCCTCTGAGAAACGCCTACCAAGAAAAACACGTTCTGCTCCGTATTATGTAGTGTGTGGCCAGAACCCAAAAAATGGCCCATGCAGATCGCTGCTTTCTTTGTAAAAACTCGCAATTGCCGCAAACGCAAGCCCAATCTGCCAAAATACGAGCAGAATTTGGGCTCCAACAACGCATTTTGCTGCGGACAGAAGAGGCAAGTTATTCCCGAAAACAGTTCAAGCCCTTTCCTCTTGGCGGCCAAGACTCATTTCTGTTTAGATGACCCCAAACCCCTTTCAGCAGGAGCGTCAAGCTGTCTTACCCCTAAGGCTTAGCGCGCAGAAACGGCGCGGTCCCCTGGGAAGCAAGCAAATTGATTCTTGATTCGAGGAAACTGGCATCAATAGTACACTTTGAGATTTGCTTGAAAATCTGGGCTTTTCTTTTTTTGGTTTTGGCAAACCCTTAAGTTTGAGTAAAAAACCCTTATTCTTTTTTAGCACCTTAAAACAGCCAAATCCCGAACGAACTGACCTGACCCATGAAACTTGGCAGCTGTGGATGGAGGAAATCCGTTCGCACCACGAAATCAGCCATGGTTGAGCAACCCCATTGTTTGTTATGGGGGAACGCATTTTTCCAAGGTTGCTTCGGTGGTGCGAGATGGATTTCGTCCATCCACGGTATTGAATGCTCGGTCCCACACGTGTCCTATCGTATTGGTCCATATTGGTGCATTGGAAGCCATGGCTTTGTGGAACACCCGTTGCCGGTTTAGTGCACCGTCTCGTTTGAATCGTGGTTTGCTGGGTTCACCAGAAATGGGCCCAAGAAATGCGGCTTCCGCAAGGCGTCACTGGGCAACTTGAACCCAATACTCCTTGGATCCAGGCCCAGGGAAGCCCAGGACGCTGTTCCAGACTTCTCAGAGTGGGAGAAGCGGCTAGGCTTCCGGGCGTCTTGAGGATATGGGACGCGCCGGAAAACACCTCCAATCCACCGGGCTTGCGGCTTACCATACCAAAGTATCTAGACGGTAAGGTGCCTGACAACCGAAACCCGCCGCCAAGCAAAGTTGAAAGTCGAGGGGTTCACCTCCATGGATGCGTGTGTCTTTTTTTAGGGCCCCCAGAACATCATGATTTCCTTTTGGTTTCTCTTTTAAACCCACCCCACCAATAGGTATCCTCAAACACAGGAAGACCCCGAGATGGCTTTGGATCATGGATGGGTCACTCGACCCCGCCTGCGAGCCCGCGACCTTCCTTTCCCCAACTACCCCAAAGCTAAGAAGCTAGAGAGTCAAACAAAAAGAACAAACCAAGGCCCACTAAGAAAAAAACAAACCAAGGCCCACTAAGACGGGGGGGTAAACCTTTGGCTTCTTCAAGCAAGGTGTCTTAAGCATGCTCACAGTGGCACTGGGTGACCTGTTGACGTCTAATTTGCCACGTGCTCCAAGATGGTGTGTCAAAATGGGTTTTAACGGGAAACCAGAAGGAATCCACAATTGTGGGAGGTTTTCCGCATGTGTCGGAGTGTAACACCATGAGAATCTTCCAGGTCTCTCCCAACGAACATTTCCCACACTAAACGACCATTTCCCGGACTGAAGGAGGTCCCCCAAAAAGCGACACGCAACAAAAAAGGCGTCCCGAAGGGACCCTTGGCTGTCAGGCCATGAGAGGCAGAGCCGCTCACACGGCCTTCCTCTTCACGGAGGCTCATGGCGGAGCTGTGGGCCAAGGGAAACTGAAGGGACACCAGGCTTTCCGGGAAGCCACGATTTTGAGACGCACGCACACAGATTTCCCCCATGTGTTAGACATGTCCCCGTGTTTTTCTTTGGGGCCGGCCCGAATTAAAAAAAACAAAAAGTGAGTCTCCTCTGGATGGGTAATTAGGCGAAATGTGAGGAAAGGTTGTTCAAGCGGCCAGGGGATGTGTGATTCTTTTACTTGCAAGCTGGTTCTTAGGGGATAAGGAATTGACCTTTGTGTGGTTTCCTGTCACGACATCCCTAGGTTCATTCCCAAGCAAGTCAATGTTTCCAGACGCCCTATTGAACACACAGGTCAGTTTGACAACCCAGACCCTGCAGTGGTGCCCTTTTACCCAGCAAAAGAACTGTGTCGCCCCCCCCCCCCTCTCCCCCCCCTTTAATAAATGTAAGGATGGATTCTGGTGCACTTCCATCATGCGGGCCACGTTTGTCCCTCTCGGTGCATGTACCACTGAGGGCCTGGACAGCAGTAGCAAAACACAACCATATTTCGGGTTCAAAACGCTTCTTCCGTGCCCCAGAAGATTCCTTCCGTATCAGATGCTTCCGAGACATCAACTTGCATAGCAGAGGCAAGTTCAGTGCCAACCCACTCATTTTCCCAGTTCAGTTGCGCCCCTTTTCTCTTGTTTGTTGGGCAGGCCCAAGGCAAAAGCGGCCAAAAGCCCACTGAGTTTCCGGACTTCCTGGTTTTTGTGGAAGACCACTTGAGTGGTGACCGCGATAGCGAGGCCCCTGTGGATGCTGCCTTTCTGGAGCACCCGCAGGCTGGGCACAGGTTCAGGGCGAAATCCGCGTCTCGCAGCACGAAATGACGGTTGAGACCAGAACGTTGGTTGGGATTTTGCAGGGGGGATCCATGATTTTAGGAATAGGGTTTCCGTTTGTTGGAATTTAGGGGGATCCATGATTCTAGGGTTTCTTCGGCTCGAAATGGATTGCATCCGCAGTATGCTTTCCCGTGTTTCAAGCATCAGCAATTTTGTGCCTTTGCATGCGCGTGTCCTTTTGGGTGATCTTTGGGGCAAGGCGGAGGCCCTGATGCCAATAAGTCCTCGACAAACAAAAACTGCCACAGGGCAAAGAATGCTTGGCCGCTGCAGCAAGAAACTACTTTGAAAGACAATCCCTGGCATTGAAAATGTGGCTTTGAGCAGGTAAAACGATTGGAACTTGTGGAACCTTCAAGGGGGCATGACTGAGCAACTGCTTGTAATTGAGCCACGGTAAGTGGTGCAGAACCTCATTTCCCCCTTTCAAAAAAACAGGTAGGACAAATGAGCAAAGCTTCACTAAGAATGGAACAAAGCTGGGCGACAAAAAGAGATCAACAGGTCGGCAGTGGGAAGTGAAGGACATGTTGGCAACTAAGAAAAGGGCCAAGCTGTCTGTTTGTGCCGTCCTTTTTTTCTCAGGGAACGGCAAGGGACTTGGGAGGTTGTAGGCTTGCTGGTACGGTTTTGGGGCTGGAGAGGTCGGCTCGAGGCTCTTTCTCGGCACAACACATTTTGGGGCTGGAGAACCAAAAGGAAACCGCCGATCTTTGACAACCGCCAGTCAGGTTAGAATAAGGGAATACCAACTTTCTCCTGTAGTCTATGTTAGTAGGGGCTTGCCCTCCCAACCAAAAAGGGAGAGAAGGGCACGATGCTGGGGGACCGAGTTGAGGCTCCCCTTTGACAAAGTCGCAAAGAGCCCGGCCCCAGGGCCACTCCTTGCGGGGGATTTTTTTTGGACCCACATTTCAAGTATCGAAGTAGCGTCTGTCTGTGTCCTTGCGTGGCGCGGCTTCGGCTAGGTGACTTGGACCCAGTAGCCAAGGGCTCGTGTGGACACAGGCCCACTTGCCGTTCGGTGTGTAAAGCCCTTACTTCCAATTGCTTAAGAATATGTTTTATTCCCCAACAGCTGAAAGCTTTGGGGTCTCAGGCCAGAGCGGCCTGAGGGGCGGCCCTGAGGTAAGGTTCCACGAGCGTTCCACGAGGGTTCCACCAGGGTTCCAGGATTCCACTAGCGTTCCACCAGGGTCCCACCAGGGTTCTGCGAGGTTCTGCGAGGGCTGCAGGGTGGTGCGAGCACTAAAAAGAGCACCGCATGCTGTTGGGGAAATCACCTGAGCTTATTTTCCCCTTTTGGTTTTGACGGGAAGCTATGACTACTGGAATATTTTTAGTTTTTCCAGGGGGCTTAAGCAAATCGAAGCTTCTTGTTTTGTGTCCCACCAAATCAGCCTCGGTGGAGGGCCAACAGCCCCGCAACCACCCAACCCATGGCCTACCTGGATAATAGCTTTCGGGGGTTCAAGGGTCACTACCCCGTCCAGGGCTGTGCGTTCAAGCTCCCCTCCTGTTCCTCAGGGTCTCCAAAAAAGCAAAAAACAAAAAGCGCAGTGGGTTTGAGCACCCAATTTGCAGTTTTTGCTTCCTTTCGGTGGTTTCTTTCTTTTTTCTTTTTTTTTTGGTTGGGGGGGGGAAATAGGCCCAGACCTCCACTTCCGCTGTGGGACCCCCCACAACCTCAGGCCGGCGGGAGCCGCCCGAGCCTTCCGCCAGACGCCATCCCAGCAGACGCGCTGCCGCTGAAATACGAGGACCACGCGGACCACTTGAGCCATGGGCCACGTCGGGGCCTGAAGCGGCGGCAGATGAATGTCGACCCCTTTTGCATCAGTTTAGTCAGGGGGGGGGACACACCCCCTCCAAAAGTGGTCTGATTCCCCACTAAACCCGCAAGCACGCCCCCGATTTATAAACTAATAAACTGGGGTTCATTGATTTGGGGTCAACAGACCATACGTCGAATGTATGGGGGTCCCAGCCATACTGAGTGACTACACTTTCAGGATGTAGGATTCATATATGCTAAAGTCTAATTTAGCAAGGCATCGGGGCGAATCATTTCGGGGGAATTGAACCCTGGTTTTGTGAACCTCCAAACCACCAATGCAAACCACCACTCGAGTAATCAGTGGGTTTCCGCCCCAAATCGCTGTTCAACCCACCTTTGTGCGCCGTTTTGCATGCTTTTGCCCTCTTGGGCATTTTTCGTGTTTCCTTCTCACCAGCCCAAAGCAAATAACCCCCCAGTAGTGCCCTTCTCTCCCCTTTTTTGGGGGTTCCCCTACTCAAGTAGACTACCGAGAAAAGTTGGTACCCTTATTCTAAGCTCCCTACTGGAGGACCTAGACAACTTTCTTCAAACACCAGGGCGAGCATGAGCTTTGTACAGGGCGGGAAGGTGTCCACTCGGTTCGAGGTCTCGACTCCTCCTTCGGTGACCTCATGACTAGCTTGCAGCACGCCTCTGGCACCGCCCTGGGCGGGGGATTTGCCAGCGGGGCCAATATGCTCTTCGGCGTGTCGCTCGGAAAATGTTCAGACTTCGGGCTGAAAGGGTCGTCTTTGATCAGAGGAGACTCTGGCTTCCCTTTGCTCGCCTTTCTTGCTTTTGCCTGTTTTTGCTTTGTTGTTCATTTTGTGTTGTTATTCTTGTTTATTTGTGTGTTTGTTTGTTTGGTTTGCTTTTCTTTTTGTTTGTTTGTTTGGTTGGTTGGTTGTTTGCTTTTGCCTCGGCCAAACTGGGCCACCTTTAAGCTTTCTGCCGAGGTCGGTCATCGGGCTGTTGATCGCGCAGGGCATGCGCTCAACGTGCCCCGGCCCAGTCGGCCCAATCGGCCCAATCGGCCCCCGTGCAAAGTTTCGGTTGACTGGCTGGGTTTGATCAGTAAACCCCTCGTTGGTTTGGATTTGAACCCTTGGTTCTTGCACAGCGACGGGAAACCACCCCGAACCACTAAACCACCAACCCACCAATTAATGGGAGCTGAGGTTTTAGGGACGGGCAAACGAGCAGGGGATGACCATGATGACCATTTACCCGCGTATCAACGAGCAAATTGGAGGTTTCCAATCACCGGCCAGTTCTTTGGCAATGTGGAAGCCGCCTTGCATGCTCATTTGCAAGAGCGTCTTATTGTTGAGCCTCGGTTGCCCCCTTTGCAGCTTGAGGTTGCTGAGTTCCAGGTCTCACCTTCCAATTTGGGCGGGAGGCCGGAGGCCGGGCCGACTGCCTGAGGGTACGGCAGTACATCCCGGCGAAGCAGCCAGAGTTGGTGTCCTCGCCCTTACTCGCGACGGAGGAGGAGGATGCCTCACCCCTACTCGCGACAATAAAGGAGGAGGAGGACGAGGATGAGGAGGCGCAGGAGGAGCCGTGTTCTGTGATCTGTCGTGCTTCGTGCTAAATAGCGTTTGCGCTGAATTATCTCGCAGGGGACGGGGGACCATTTAAAGTTTGGCAGACGCTTGAATCTCGCTCCCAGCGAGTTTCAAATCGACTTAGGATCATACCGCGTGTCAGGGACTTGATTCGTTGCCGGGTTGCTCGGATTAGGATGGTCCTTTGGCTTCATCCGGAGTTAATATTGAGGTTGACCTCAGATTGATCAACTGGGTGAGTTTGAGGAGGTCGTTCACCAAGAACAGTGAAGGCTTAGTTGAGTACTCCTGGATCCGTTAGGTGCCACTGACCAACTTGCCGATTGGTCAGCTGGGGCCTTTTGCTTGGGGCTGGCCTTCACGCAGCGTTTGCTTCATGACCCCACACGTGTAACACATTGCATTCTAGGCAATTGGGCCATGAATTTTCCGGCGGAAAACATGTAGTTGAAGCTTAGGCAGGTGGTGAATTTCCGAGTGCGAGCCACGTCACAGAAACCGCGGCATGATTTTCTGTGACTGCTTTCAAGGGCGACTTTTCAACCCAGACTTTGGGTCTAGGGGATCATAGCCTGGGATGCTTGCTTAGGAACTTGGCATGTCCAAGTGGGTGGGTCACTTTTAGAGGACCCCTCAAAATGGTTTGTTTCCCTGTTGGGAAACCCCTTGCAAACCCAGACCAAAAGGGGCACCCTCAAAAACGACACACCCAAGCAGTTCAGCAGTCAAAGCTAAAGGCGCTTGTCCCATGCATGGTTCCAATACTTGACTACCCCAAGATAGACCTATTCCCAGGGCTTCGTGTTCCAGTTGTTCCCCAGCCAGGCGCAGAACCACTCGCAGGCAAAGCCCCATGTGTGTCTTAAAATGGGACATCGGGCCCCCAAACTGGGTCGCCCTTTAACACACCCCAAAAGGGTACCGACTCAAAAACGACGCATATATAGCAAATCACGGGAACGGGAACCTGCTTCGAACTCTGCAGAGCTGCTGCGCTAGAACTCGTGTTTCCCCCATGTGATGTTCAACGAGGATTTTGCATTAGGAGGCAGTTTTTGTCCAAAAGTCTCCCAAAATTATCTTATCCGAATGGTTCACGGGCCCTTTCTTGACTTGCTGTGAACAGTCCATAGTTTCCTCATTTCCTGTTCTTGGCACTTCCCCTTCTGCCGGATTTCGTATAGCTGAGGCACTCGTATTTTTCCCTTCCTATCCTCACACTCTCCAGATGTAGGATGAGGATTGGTATCTTTTGGTACGGCATTGCTTCAAGGAACTGGTAGTACCAGGGGAAACGCCAGGACGCTGAGACCGCTGCCTGCGCCTGCGCATGCTGAAGGGCTGCGTAGCCTGTCTCACCCAACAGGGCCGACGGAGCACGGCGTTAAAACGACTCACGAGGGGGGGAGTTCTGTTGGCGAACTTGCAGGTGTTGGTCCAGTCTCCCAGTTGCCCTTGCTGTTTGCTTTTTCGGTGGTCAACCACTGAAAAGGGCTTCAATTTGTGTGGTAATATACGTCAGTCATCGGGTCACCAGCGCAAGTCTGCACCTCGGAAAGCCTTGCCTCACAGAATTCCTCAGCAGTCTGGGCTAGTTGCTTTCAGCAGTCAAAAGAAGGCCTTGCCCCAGAGACCAGACCAATCACAGACGCATCCCATTCACAGATAGATCTGGCCAGTTCGGCACCGATTTTTCTCCCACCGAAAGTGGCACCATGTGTGTCACCAGTTGCGGCTGGATGGGACGCAACATGGAGAGCAACGAATCGGCTTATGGCCAAGTTTTGTCTAACCGTCCCCCTTTTGGCAATTGTCATTCCACAACCAGTTGGTTGGCTGTTTCTTCCCCACTAAGAACGGTCATTCCTCACATTCCCAAAATTGGCTTTGGTTTGGGTTTTTGTTGGCTTGTTTTGTGTTAGAATGGCTTACCCAAACGCCACCAAGAGCAAGCTCCCCCCTGCCGTTTGCGGCTATCTTCAACCTGTACCCCTTTGTTTGGGTTTTTGTGTGTTCCCCACTTGCCTTGACAAACCGTTTTGCAACCAGCTGGGTTTGTCTCTAAATCGGTGCCGGGCCTCCCCAACTCCCCACCTCCCCGAAGCTAGTGATTTCCCTTTGGCTTTCCCCCGAGGTGGCCGGTGCAGAGCTCTCCAACTTCGCCTGCAGGACACCCGTTACCGTTACTAGAGAGCTGTGGGGCCATGGATGCGGCGGCCCGGAGTATTTCTATGGGGGTGGTTTTGGCCCCTCCAAAAGGGGTCTGATTCTCTGCTAAACCCAGGGACTCCCCGATATGAATAAACAGAGGTCTACCAATATGGGGTCAGCATTACATCTGAGCCACGTCCTCATGAAGGTCTTAGCTATCCAAAGCGAATCCACCGGATCAATCGACCTTTTCGTGTTTTTCCATCTTGGCAACCATACATAGTCAAGGTACCAAAAGGTGATCACCTTTGATTTCCAGGTCATGCACGGGCAAGTGACAATCACAACCATAAATAGGTGTGGATATCCACCTTCTAAGAATCATGGTTCTGGGCAGATCATTTTAATACCGGGTCTTTGAGTATGACTCATCCGAGTCGATCTTTTTGTTCAGGATACCGTTGTTGGAGTTGGTTTAAAGGAAAGCCAACAAGAACACTGATGCAGTTTGAGGGGTCCCCTACAAAAAGACAAAGCCATCTGTCCCTCATGCAGCAAGCCTCCGGTTTCACTGGAAACAACTTTTTGGAAGAGGTGGCAAAGAGTTTGGACAGTTTGTTCGACTAATTTCTATCCAAATCATTCCAATCCACAGTGAGTTCAGCCAGAGTCTATTGAACTGAGAATTTGGCCACTGGTTTGGAAGGGAGACAGTGACCGTTCCCCCTGAATGAATATTGTTTTCTAGGGACCTCATAGGCCCCCCCAAAGACCCCCCAAAGGGTTAGGTTAATGAGCCTTATAATCTCATCTTGCAGTTTCAGTTGGCAATTGCAATTCGAAATGCTTAGTTGTCCAAAGCCGACCTTTTGCCCTTTTGGTTTTCCCCTTTTGGTCCAACAATAGTCAATGTCCCAAAAGCTTAATCCAGGTGCTTTGGGCAAGTGAGATTGTCATTGACAACTGACGTGTAAGTTGTGACCTTCAGTGTTCAATTGCCGCCCCTCAAGCAATCCTTCAAGAATTTACGGGTGAAGGAGGAAAGCAACGATAACAACAGGTATGCCCGGGCAAGACTTTGTGATTGAACTGGGACTTTTCGCCAAACAACTTGGAATATCTAGGACCTACACCACATGTGAGACGCAACTGAAACCACGGTGATTACAAACACCAGGCCAGCGACATCCAAGCCTTTGGCCCCACATAAATGCCAAAACTCCTGACCACAAAGACTCTTTCCAAGCACACATCCTTAAATGCGTTGCGCCTCATTATGTGGGCTGAGCAAAAACATGGGAAAGCTCTGCAACCCGATGACCGTTTCTTCCTGATCAGTTTGGAGTCCAGCAAGGGCTCCCTGCATGCTCTCTTGTGTTCTTTACGCGGGGGGTGCTTGAAGTCATACCAAAGTGGCAACGGCCTCCAGTTGTGACAGACAAAGCGAGCCCCATCTGGGGGTTGACAATCGCGGGGAACCCACCCTACTGGAACAACTGGGCTGCTATTGGAAGTCCTCCTCCTTCTCTGTGGTTCCACGTTAGCGAAAACCTTTGCACTCGGATGCACGCCCACCGCCCCGCTTTGAAGCAAATACAGGGACACCCGTCAGGTGTTAACTATGTAACTAGAGGGTCTGGAAAAATTGGAAGTAACTCCTTTGGTGTGTTCATTTGCCAGGGTGTCATAATGGGAACCCAGGATGAATCACCCCAGTTTATTGATAGGGCGTCAAGGCTTTAGTGGGGATTCATCACTTTGGCTGGGAACACCCCCCCCCTATCAATAGGGCGGATGCATTAATCCGGGGTCAGCCTTACATGCTTCCCAGCTCTGGACGCCCGACCTCGATCTTTGGCTCAAGCCCTCACAGCAGAGCAGAGAACGGCTTGAGGCCGGTCCGATGTATCCCACTCGATCCGGGGGATGGCAGAGCGGTCCTTTTGCGGCCCCTGTTCAGGCTTGTTCCGAGCCCTAAGACCAAGGGCACTTCTTTCTGTTTGACGGAGTGCATAAAAACAGTGTGTCACAAACACAGGCCCCAAGCAGCCACAATTAGGCCCTGCAAAAGAAAGCCTGAACCATTTGTGAGGGTGTTCCCAGTTCATGGCCATATGTTGCAATTACACGGTTCCAATGGCAATTCTACCGATTACCAGATGGTTCCTGCATATGCCTCAAAATTGAAAAGCCCCAGTTGTGAATTAGTTTTAATGCCACATCCGTTCGCAGCATCTAAGAAACCCTGGTTTTCTGCTTCGATCCTTCCGTAAATGCCAACCAACCATGGTTTTAGTTGCATTTCGTGCGAAATACCAACCAGATTCCTACATAAATGCCAACCAACCATGGTTTCAGTTTCATTTGGTGCGACCGGATTTCGTTTTTAAGGCCACATCCCCATTTTTGAGCCCCAAGCGACTGGCCAGGTATGGCGGCGGCAGGATTCAGGGCCATTGGCCAGGCATGTCAGCCGGCCACTGGGCGAAGCAAATGGAAGCTCTGTTGCCCAGTGGGTTGCTTCCTGTTTTCCTTTTTGGGTTAAGGGTTCCGGTTCCTTTAAACTCGACCAACCAAAGAAAGAATCCCCTTTTTTCCCATGGCCATTGGGCATGTGAGGAAGTTCCAATCTCAATTGTCGGGTCTCAGATCGACCCTTTCACAGTTATGGCTAAGGCTTAGACCCAAAAAATCAGATGAAACAGGATCAGGGGACTTTCGGTACCCCCCCTTGTGGGACTGTTCGGGCTTGTTTTTGTGCAGAGGGTTTGTCCAAAAATCGATCCTTTTGGGCACCACTTCAAGGCAGGAATTCCTGGATGTAAGGCCTTTAGCTGGGAAGGGCTCAGATAAACCGCCCTTTAAAAGTTAACGGCTACGGCTTTGTGGAAGTTCAGCACCCACCCAAAAATGAACTGGTTGGCCTTGGCTTCTTTTATAAGGGATGTCCATGAAAGTCGATGGTTTCAGCTCCACTTCAAGAAGGATTTTTTAGCAGGGAGGGCTTGGATAAACCACCTGTAAACATGTTCAAGGCCAAGGCTTTGGTATATGTTTTGTCCGGATTAGTTTTCCGTAGGCCACAAAAAGGCACGGTCGTTTAAAGCCCGCCCTCAAGCAGTCACAGGATTCTACCTTAGGAAAGCAACTTTGAAGAAACGAGACTCTAATTATTCAAGGAGGCACCACGTTGAGAAGAATCTCAGACCTCCAGCGGTGTCCTTGTTTCATGTTTTGCTTCAAGATCAACAGACAACAAAGCGGGTCCTTTTTTCCTGGAAAGCGGAGGCCTAGCTGGATTCAAAAAGCAACGCCATGAGTTTGGTGCTTGTTTTGTTTGGCCGAATGTTCAACAAGTTCGATCTTCCCGAGATCCGGAGTGACCCTCTAATCGGTTTTAATCCATTCAGTCATTCGTCAACATCCCGAGTGTGGCAAACCTTTTATTTCCAGGTTTTTCAGGGATAGAACGGAGCCTTCTCCCAAATCAATTTGCATAGGACAGACATGGCCGGCTAGACATGGACCGCCTGGACTCAGGTGAGCAGCGCCCAAAACGGGCTCCTCTTCGGCCATTTTGCTAGGTGGGCCGAGCAAACCAAACCAATAGAACCACCTCAACTGGCCATTTGATAAATAAATAAATATATATATATATACACATTGTACATATATATATATCTATACATGTGTGTGTGTGTGTGTCTATCTATCTAATGCTATAGAAGAAGCTTAACCTCAACAACAATGCCAGTAGAACCGCCCAAAAGCAATGGGTTTTCACGGAGCTCAGGTATCTATTGTGCCCTCAATCGTGCGGAGCAGCGTCCACGGGCCTCACCACTACGGGGGTTCCTTCCGAGTGGACATCGCAAGGCGCAAATCGGAGCGATCGGGGCGGAGGGGGAGGCGGGGGTGGGGGGGTGGGGTGAGCGTTATTGGAAAGTTTTTCTTGGCAGGGCTCCCCAAATGTCCATTGAAGGGTGGGTGGTTTCAAAGCTCATTTTTTGGCCTGATACTTTTGGTCAGTTTGTTTGTTTTCTTTGCGGGGTGAGATTTGAAGAGGATACGTAGGGACCTTGGGAGGGTGAACCTTTCTGAACCCGGAGTTTTCTGAAGTGGCATCTTCCATCTCTTCCTAACGTTGGGCTCCCTCCAATTTCCAGCCCTCCAAAGGCTCCCCCGAAAACTTTGGCTTCAAAGGCCCCCCCAAACCTCCAGCTCTTCGCCAAACTTTTTGCGGAAAGTCTTTGAGCTGGACGGGTTTCGTGGGGAAAAAGAAGGCGCCGAGCTCGGGAATCGGGGCTCTACATCCAGCTCACGGCCTTCCCCAAACGGAAGGGTTGATTGCCCGGAAGGCGAGGAGTTTGCTCTAGGGGCACACTCGGATTTGAGGACATCCGTGCTTTGCTCGTGCATTCGAGTACTGAAACTCGCGAGAGGTTCTATTTGTCGACCAGGCGGTTTAGCAATCCGGGTGAACATTACAAAGGGTGGTTTTTTGGCTGCTTCCTATTCAGTGGATGTTTGTTTCATTCGTGAAAGTGGGTTGCCCGCTCAAAAAGCCACTGCAAAGGGTTCTCCCTCCAGTCGCCTGATAGCTGTGTGACTTGGTTGGACCTGTTAAGTGGAGCGATTTCGGTCTGTTTTTTTTGTTGGAGTTCGTTGGTTTAAAGGGAAACCAAAAGGACACCAAAGTTCATTTTGGGAGTTAATACACCCACTTATCAGGCCTGGCTTGCATTGCATGCCCATGGAATTGGTGTTTGCGGTTTGGCTGACTGGATCACAAATGAGCGCCCACACTGCCCTTGGCCGTTTTAGCTGGTGCTACCTCCTGTCTTACAGGATGCTTCAAAATATGTTCCATCTGAGATAGCCGAAAGACGGTCTGGAATTGGGCGCTCAAATGAGCAGCCCATGGAAAAACCGCTCTCAATTTACCGAACCGCGCCTGGCAAGGGGGGATGCTCCTCCCAAATTAGCCACGGTGGGTTCCGAAAGTACCAGCTACTAGTAGCACACCCCTGCGATCCGTTTTAGTATTATGATTTCCGGCATCCTTGTTTACATGCAACATTTTGTATGCGTTGTTAGGTGTTGTTGTCCCCGTCGTTTTCGGGATTGAAGCGGAACAACATGGCTGGTGTCCTTCTTGAGTTTTGCCGCCTTAACACATGCCATACACAATGTACCGCTAGATGTACGCCATAGATCCTAGTGAAAGGGTGACTTCACATGCCAGGCTTCGTCCGAATTGCCTGGATGAGTTCTGCTAGTTCTTTTCAGGTTGGCGAATGCCAATTCACGATTTCCAGGGTGTCCTTAGGTCGAGTCTGAATCCGTTTTCGCCCCAAGGCCTCTTTCAAAAGAAGAATCCTTTACAGCTAGTTTGCTCGGTGCCATGTTTAGCCCTATGATTTGTCGATTTCCCCATGGCAAGCACACGGAAAATCAATCGGTTTTTTATATATATATATATATAATTTGCCATGTTCAAAACCTGCCAACCAGCGCTTCTCACTGACCAGTATGAAGCAACCGCTTGGTGGGATATATCTATTGCATGGCTTTTAAGTGAGACCCCTTTTTTTCCTAGCTCTATCAAATGACCTGCTTGCCGAACATCCTCGGCTCCGTAAAGGCAGACATGTAGAATCAAGTAACCTGGGGCACCCAGTTCTTTGTTTTTTCTCCCCACGTAAATGTTGTCCACCCTGTGGGTTCCAATTCTTCCCATCAGGTCGCTACGGCAACCGCCAAGAATACAAAACTTTCGCCGACCGCTCAGGGCGCGCCGGGGCTTTTGGGACTCCTGCTCGGCGTCGACACGCCCCTGGACAGAAGGAGCATCCCTGGGTCAAGAACCCCCTCCCCTCCCAGTGGACGGGGAGCGAAGTTCCGGGCTGTGCATTCCGTGATCCAGTTGGAGAGGTTCTAGTTTCTCCCTGGGATTTCATTTGGTGCGGCATTTGCGCCGAGGTAGATTTTGCACCACGGGAAGAGTTGTCGGCTTGTTTCTGCACGAGTTCTGCAAAAGGGGTTGGGCCGTCCTGCAGCATTTGGGGTTGGGATTGGCCCTCAATCAATTCAGGTTTGCTAATATGCCTCAAATGGAGAGCCCCAAAAAATGAGCCCCTGGGCTCACGTTCCCTTTGTTTGTAGGCCATACCAAAGGATACCATTTCCAAAACGAAACCCGACAGTTTTCTCTCAACCATCATGGAAGTTCAAAGCCCCGCCACTTGCCCAAAGCGTATCGCACTTTTGACCACATAGTCTGGGTGCCCAAAGGTTAACCTTTTATTTCCAGGCGGGTTTTGCGGCAGACGCAAGCCGTTGATGTTCAAACAGGAGTTTACACATCACAAAACATTGGCACCCCATCTGCTTTGACATGCTTATGTTGGCACCCTCTTAGTTCAGCCCGTTCTTTTCTTGTTCAATCACGCCTGTTTTTGGACCTCCATGTTTTCATCTTTTGGGTTTCTGGAATTCAGGCAACGGGGCTCGCAGTTTCCGAATGGGTCCAGCCCGTTGCAGGTCTCTCATGGCCTCATGTTTGTTCCGCGTGTAACGAGGGGCGTTTGGGTTTGGCCCCCTGCAAATTTCGGCAGGAGCCCCAAAAGCCGCGCGCAGGAGTCCCCAAACAGCCAGGTCCAGAGAGTCGACTCATCCCTGACGCCCCTTCTTGTCGACCTTCCATGCGAATCAAAGTGTCTCGCGAATCCCGAACTGAGGCCAGTACCCAGGCTTACTGCAGCTCTTCCAATACGCCCCGGCAGAGGCGTGGTCCAGCCGGAAGTGCCGGAAGCCAAAGGAAAATCGCCTGCGGAGGTAAACTGTAGGGGTTGCTTGAAAGGTGGTCCCTTCAACTTGGCGAATGAGTGACTTCAAAGAGATATGGGGTGATGCATGCGAACTGAGTGCATGAATTGCTGGTCCTTGGCTGGGTTTCTCTTCAGAGGGGCCGGGGGGATTAACCCGGCTATTCAAGGGCAGGCACCTCCTTTCAGGGGGTAGCAAAGGGCCTTCAGCAGTGCTTATTTTCATCGGCCTTCCATCAGACAAAAAATCAACCAGCAAATAGAATCACCCGCGAGTTGCTTTCCTCTCCTTTGGCAAGCTGAATGTGTGCATGTGATACTGCGGTGGGCCTTCCCAGGTCCCAGGGCATCCCGGCTCAAACCTTGATTCTTAACCAGTATTGCCCCCACAAGCTTGCAACACAAAGTTTCTCCCTGTGGACTGGCATAGAACCAGGTTTGGAACTTGGAGCACCCTGTTCATGTTCACATCCTGGAGGTTGTCCCATAGCCCGGGTAAATGGAAGTTGCGGAAGAACCCACGGGGTCCAAGTTGTCCAAGTGCCACCACGGAGTCCGAGACAAAACGGGCTACCTTGTTTAGTGGTTACCCAGTTTTCCCTCGGTTGGGCGTGGTTTCCCATGTGAGAAGTTCGGGGTGGGGATTTTGCAACCCAGACTCGCGGTTTGCACTTTTGAACAGGCGGAGCCCGCGCAGAAAGCGGAGCCGGAGGATGCGCTTGAGGCGGCTTGAAACCGTTGGGCAGTTTGTGTGCTCCGCAAAATCGTGGCGCCCTAAAGAAGCTGGTTTGTACCTTCAGCTGGGGGAGAGGGGGGGGTGGGGCGCAATTTTGCGGGGCGCATTTTGCATTGACCCTAGGCGGTACCAGCTTTCGGTCCGCCCTGATTTTGGGGAAGTCACCTCCCAATTTTTGTTGATGGCCTTGCCTCTCAATTTTCCTCCGTGTTTTGGTTCTCCACTGTTTGCTTGGCGCTTGAATTTCATGTTGCCGGGGTTGTTTGTCCTATGTACCCAGTGGATGAGTGACCATAGGTGTCCTTTTTGGTTGTTTTGCTAGAAACATAGATGGCCCTGGTTTACCTGGTGGTTTAATCATCTACCAGGGCCATCTATTTCCCCTAAAAGGGACACCTATGTGAGTGACACCTTCTGAATCATTCTGAATCCCTTTTCGTCTGGCGTGGGTGAGTTCCGACTCCTAGAATCAGGGTCACTGGGCTGGGCTATGCTTGGCGGGGGCGCGACGGCCTTTTGTCCGACATTTTTCTGGAAGGCGGCGCCCGAGTGGAGATTCAGATTCAGTTTCAAGGGCGTTTGGGTCTGATGAGGGGCCGATCCCATCCCTGGACAAGCTCGTAAGGTTTTGGTCTCAACCTGGGAAAAGTGTACCACACATTCTTCCCCCCCCCCCCCGCCCCGGAAGTCGCATTGGGAAGGGCCCATTTGGGGCTTCATGTTTTATTGTTTCACTGGTTTGTTTCTATTGCCCACTTGCCCGAAGCAAATCGATCTTTGACTTTTGGGCTTCTCCTCTTTGTTGCATAATTGTGTCAAGGTGCCAAGAGTTAAATCTGTTATTTCTGGGTCCAACCTGGGCAAGGTTGGCGTTTCCAGGAACTTGTTGCTGAGAAGTACTCGATGTTTCGCTGGGATGGAGGGGCCCTTATCCAGGATCGGAGGATGTTGTGCACCATGCTGGGAGATCATACCTTCTTCTTGTGGCAGACCATGCTCCCATTTTCGACTGCATACAAATGTCACGCGCGCATGCTCGTAGATACGTTATGATACGTTCCTGAGTTCCTGGACTTTATACATTGGAAAGAAAACAGTTTGGACCTTTTTTTGGCCAATCCACCCAGCAAGTGGGCTGTATACGGGGGTTGATCACCAGGTCCTTTACATGAGATGACCATTGGTGAAAGTCAGAAAATCACCACAAAGACGTTACTTTCAACTAACTTTCAACTAACTCATTTGGAGGCCAGGAATATTCATCAACCCCCACGAACGCGGGGACTCGTCGCTTGGGCGCGCGCGTCGGTTCCTTCGGAGTCTCCGTGCCCTTAGGAGGCTTCGGACGCGGAAACCGAGGGCGCCCTGGCCTGGAATGCTCGCGACAAGACGGTTTAAACATGGGTATGGCCTGAAAAAGAAAAAGAGCTAAGAGGGTTATGCAGGTTTTAGTCGTTTCCATATAAGGTGTCATTTTGGGTGCCTTCCTTGAGCCACAGCCAACTGTTTAACATGATAAGGATTGGCCCAACAGTTGGGCGACTCGTGAAAGTTAGCACGTCCTTCCCACTTTGGGGCACGGAGGGAGTAGTGCCATCAGCTTTCACTTGATGTAGCATGAGAATACGGAGAGTTTTGGATGTGAACCCGCTCTCCCCTGTTCCCTCAAAATCAGACTGAGACACAGTTCCTTCCACGACATCATAATTTGTGTTACAACAAACACGTTCAGCTAACAACAAAACCAAGAATCAAGCATCACAATAAGAACCAACAAATCATGATATGCACTAGGCAGGACTTCCAGGCTAGAACTCTCATCAGCTTCCCTCCAATTGGTGGTTTGGTGGTTAAGGGTGTGTTTCCAATTTTCTCTCCACAACTCAAGGTGTTGAAATCCCCAAACCAACAATCCAAGCAAACCACCACTTGGAGGGAAGCTGATCTCAGGTGCTTGGAAGGGTACTTAGGCAAGACTCTTGAAGGGTGCTTAGGTCGGACTTAGCTAAAAACCATCCAGGTGCTCTCTTGAAGGGTGCTTAGGTCGGACTTAGCTAAAAACCATCCAGGTGCTTGGCGGGGCACTATCCAAGGTGCATGAAAGGATCGTTCAAAGATGTTGCCCGGGATCGGGCAGTTGCAGTAGGGTGCCCAAAGGCCGACTGTCGCAAAGACCAAAGGCAGTCAAGACGGACACCGGGCCAAAGTCGTTTGCCGCTCCGACACTGTGGAAGATCGCCTTTTCTGCTCTTGCAGAGGGTGCTTTTTCCATGTGCTTGGCGGGCGGAAAAGACGAAGGAAGAACAAATGGTCACATTTCCCCGCAAGTACTTATCGTTGCGCGCACTCCCACACCATTGCACACAGTAGTGTGCGTGTCTTGTCTTATCGTGATACCCTTGAAAAGAAACTCTTCGTGGCGCCGGTTGAACAATGTCTCGTGTTTGTGTGTTTCCTTTTTATTTTATTTTTATTTTTGGGGGGCCAAAGCTGAGGTAGGTTTGGTTTAGTCAATCAAGCGGTTTGTTGTCCCCTTGGGCTCTGAAGTCCAACCACTGCAGTTTCCAGAGCCCTCATCTAGCCTTTTTGGACCTTGCACTTCTTGAGAGGCTCTCAGTGGATTCCAGCGTGAAGTTCTTGAGCGCCCACAAGACGACCCCCAGGAGAACAAACATAGAACCTGCAGAATCTTACAATTGACCCCCTGTAGAGGTTGTTTGTTGGGAGGGTACCCGTTTTTTTTCTTCTTCTTTTCTGCCGAATGGGTGGGCAAGCGCTTCGTTGCCGAGGTCACGTGGAGAGAGGCCCGGAGAGGCGTGCGTTGCTCTCGATGCCCGCCGAAGATGGCCCCGAAATTGTCATTTGCATGGACGGAGACTTGGGAAGTTCATATAACCAGCTTGGTTCAATTGAAGTCACATTCAACCCACAAGCTTTGCACTCTTAGCAGGGGGTCTCACAACAACGTAGCCCGTGTGTGTGTGTGTGTGTGTGTGTGTGTGTGTGTGTGTGTGTGTGTGTGTGTGTGTGTGTGTGTGTGTGTGTGTGTGTGTGTGTGTGTGTGTGTGTGTGTGTTTTTTTCGTTTTTTTTTTTTCTTCCTTCGTTAAGTTGGAACGCCAGGCCTGCACCCACAGCCCCGGTGACAGCCGCAACTCGGTGAGGGCCGTGTCGGTTTGGCTGGGAACTGGGGGTTTGAAGCCCTGGGTAAGGCGCCTAACCTCCGGCGAAAAGACTCTTTAAGAATTGGTGGCCTTTTTAGGTCAGTTTGGTTGAACATAGATGGCACTGGCTGGAGGTTGGTTCTGAATCATTTGCCAGTGCCATCTATATTACCAAATGAACACCTAAGCAACTAAGACGCTGTAAGCCTGGCTGAGCACTTCAGGTAGGAGCAAGAACCTGACTGCAGCCTCTGGGGATAGGACATAGCATGAGTCTTGCCAGAACGCATAATATGGTTCTCTTTGGCCATTTCGCACGTCACCTGTTGAGTTGACCAGCTTAGAGCCGTTTGCGGACATCAGGAATTAGTCAAGGCCCGAGCATGTTAGACTTGTGAGCCTGAACCCAGTTTGGGTTGCCGCTTAAGTGACTTTGAGATGACTGGGGTAAGGAGCCCTTGCCCTTATGGAACAAACAGCAGGGCATACCTTTGCTTGCTCCCTGAGTCTCAGACCCACTCAGTTGCACCCTACGGCCTTCGCAGGATGAAGCTCAGGATGAGGGTTCCCTCAATACAAGTCCCAACCCGACACCCATTGCAAGCAATCAGCCTGCCCTCCAAAAGTTGCATACTTCTTCCCAGTGCATTGTTCCGCGTTGACATGATCAAAACCAGGGTCCATTCCAGGATACATTTGGGCCAGTCAAAAGATCACCATTACCAGCTGTATTAGGGGATCCCTTTGTAAATCATGTGTTTTGTTGGGTGCATCCTTACAACCCTGAAAAACGAGCAGTCCATGATGAGTTGGTTCCAGAAACAAAAGAAACGCATGGGATCGGTGGTGGTTTCTGTTTGTTCACCTCGAAACCATCCAAGATCCGGTACCCTTCAGACAGGTAAGAAAGCCACGGGATAGACATCATAAGCTAAACTTCGGATTGGCAGCCAGGTTAGTTACGCAATGAGCCGAAGCTATGAACTTCCCAAGTACCGCATAAACATGAAAGTGCACAGCCTGTGCACCAAACCACGGTAAATGCGGTGCGACGATCTGCGGTTGGCGAATTGCATGCATAGATTGCTGCAAATTTGCAGTTTTGTCTAGTTTTTGTGTATAGTGCAGGTAGGTCAAAGTAGATGGCGCTCCTTCATTCTGGTGTCATTCCCATTGGCCTGGGAGTTGTGCGGGCTACTTTCCCCGAAGGGAACCTGGAGGCCTGGTGTTTGTTTTTCTTATTTTATTGTTTTTTCTTTTTGTTTCTTCTTTTTTAAAAGGGGGATGTAGGGAGCCTTGCCCGGAAGTTAAGGACCCCCCCCCCCCGGTTGGCTCCACTGGCAGCTACCTTGACAAGGGGTTGGCCCAAGCCTAGTGTAGATTCCGCCTTGGGTTTCTGAAGGGTTCATGCTTGTCCCACCCCCACCCCCCCCAGCCCCAACGACAGCACCAGATGTTGTGCCATTCGCCTTCGCCGAGGTAGAGTGTAGATCTGTTCGTTCCCTCCTCCTGAACATGTTCGCAAGCTGCGCACCCTGGCCCTGGCCCTTTTGCTCTCGAAACCGCCGGAGCCGATCCGAGGCCTACATGGTGATGCGGGACTATGAGCGCCGGCTCAGGAATCTCGAGCTTCAGTGCCCGGCATCCCAACGGGCTGTAGGCTTAGGCACCCAGCGAGGTGTTGGCAAGAAGAGTTACCCAGTTCACCAGTGGGTTGCTTGCAGTTTTCCTTTTTTTGGGGAAGGGTTTCCCTTTAAAGTCAACGAACCAAGAAAGGATGCCCTTTTTCCCTATGGCCACTGAGCATCTGAGGTTAGTGGAAACAGACAAGTTTGGCTTTGTGTCCATTCAAGTGCGTCTGACTTCTTCAGTGGCACTCTCTGGATTGCTTTTTGGCGGGTTCCCCACAGAAAGTGATAGAAAGTGTCAGTCACAAGCAAGGGATCCGATTCTTCCTCTGCCTCTGACCAAGTAACTAGCGGTTTCCAGGCGTATGAGTTAGCCTTGCCCTCAACGAACACCCGAAAAGCCGACGAGTAGCGGCAACTTCCGTGGAAAGGACCCCCGTTCTGGGTCGCATGTGAATTTGCGGCGGGGTATCGGTTCACCCCAGATGTTGCAGCCCTACTGTTTCTAGTATTTTTCTGGCTTTTATTTGAAATTCACCGTGGCTTCTTGCATGCAGCCCAACCATTTTCGGGTTGGCTTGTTGTGATTCCCTGGTTGGAGTTGACCACCTTGGATTTGACCTGATTGCGTGGTAACCTCCCCCCCAGCTCCCACAAAAGGCAGGCCGCAGGGACTAGCTGCGCTGGTGTGGGGGCGAGAGTCGGGCGTTTTCCTCGGTGTTTCGGGCTGTTTGGCACTTATGGCCCACTTCAAAGTTCGAGCCCCAACTTTTGGCAAACACAAGCAGCAGGGTAAATGACATCCGCTGCAGAAGTGCGAAACACGGTAGCCAAAATTTCGGGTTGCATTTTGTGTGGGACCAGCTGCCCTGCAAAGAAATAATTAGTTGCTTACAACTTAAATGAGTTCAATTGAACAACCAAGTTTTGAAAATGCTTGCGTAATTGAGTGGTTGGCTCGACACTTTAGGGGCTCGTACAGTTTCAATGACCCTCCGTTCTTGCGTGCACCCTTTATCCCGCAATGACTAGCTGAGGACACACAAATCCCAATGACTGAGAGTGCCAGCGAACACATGCACACACGAGCACACCTTGTACGACATGGTCTTTATAGTGCCCTTTGGGTGCTTCAACCCTCTCCCTTGGAACCATCTTAAAATGGTGTGTGTGTGTGTGATTGTGTTTTTGAGGGTACCTCTTCAGGTCGGTTTGAAAGGGACACCAAATGAAACCACCATCTTGGGTGTCCCCCGACGCATTGAGGCCGGGAGTTGCGGGGTCACAACGCGCAGCTGAGCTCAGAGCCACGGCCGGATCTGACCTTTGGGGTTCCACTTGGTGCATTTTGAGTCGTGACGCCGAAGGGTCCATTTTTCCTGGTGAACAGGTCTTGCTTTCCTCATGTTCCACGTTTTGGGCAGTTTCAGAATTTCAAGATCTCCCTTCTTAGCTAAAAAAAATGCCTGTCCTTATGGTCAAATATAAAGTAAATGGGGTTATCCGGAAGGTCCTTGCATTGAGATATGAAGGGTTCTTCTTGGTGTAAGTGTTGCTCTCTGCGAAAGCCTTGAAGGAGGTCACGGATGGTGTTTTTTCCCTGCGAAAGTGTTGCTTTCATTTGCTTAAGACTATTTTGTTTATTTTCCCTTGTTGGTTTTAGAAAGAAATTTATATATCACTACTGCATTTTATTTATTTATTTCGGGGGTCTAAACCAAATGGAAGGTTGTGTATGGGTGGTTCGGCAAAAGGAAATTGACTGATGAATCATTTACCGGCAGCGCGCGGTATATCGGAGGAAGCATGGCGAGGATTGCCGCAAGAACACGTGACTGCAAAAGCAACTTACAACCGAGCAGAAAGCAGCTTGCTTGTTGGAGGTTTCAAGCTTTCAAGTCCGGTTAAGCACAACTGCCAGACGGATCTTCGGTAGTGTTTTGAACAAGCTCCGCACAAGGTTCGCAGCAAAATCCAGTTTCGGCACATGGGTGGCCAAAGGATCCCTCCCGTGCTGCTACGCGACTTTCAAGCCGCGGCTGCGGAAGTATACTTCGTGTAGTACTTGTTTGTTGCATTGATTCCCCGCCAAAGCGCCGATGCTGGTCGCCAAAGTTACTTTACCGCGAGGATTGCAATTCCGGGAGCAAGGAGTTTCAGACAACTGCCATGTACATGAAACATATGTACACATGTTTTTCTCAGTTTCCGCCTGGGAGAGGCTACCCGGGGAATAGAGAATTGCGGTTGGGGAGGCAGCGGGGATGTACTGAGAGCTGCATGTGAGAATACTTATGCGCAAAGGATCCCATAGAGGTACCTAGTGCTTCTACAAGGGGTATTCGGGACCTTTGGAGGTATATATGGAGACAAAAGCAAGTGTCCGTTGCAAGGGTTCATTCGAACTGCCCTGGATGGCTGGGTTTTAACTGGTCTCCCTTTTGGCTTGTGTGGTTTTACAGTTTGAGGTTCGAGAACTATGAGCCAGACTCCACCAATTTGGTCGCTATTCAGCCCGGCAGTCCACTTGGGGCAAGCGGCTTTATCTAAAGGGAAACTACAGAAGTTTACAAGGGCCCGGGAAGGTCCCCCACTGCACCGCCGTCTTTCTTTCAAACCACTCACCGGGGAGTTTTTGTCTAATTGGTTTGGAATTGTTGGGGTTTGAACCCTGGTTCTGCTGCTGGGAAACCACTTGAGCCTCAATCAAAACCCGGGTAGATGAAGGTTAGTAATTAAGGGACCATCCCAGCCACAAATAGGTGCGGCCGCTTTTTCAATTCCTTACATGGCTCTGGGTTCACCATTTTTGTACCAGGTTTTGATTCTGACTCACTTCCTAAACCGAAATCTTCAAGCCACCAGTCCCTCAGCTGAGGAGCTTGCGGCTAGCCGCGGCCATCAGCAACAAGGTTGGGAACGGGGAGGGGGCCTGAAGTGAGAGACCTACCTCCAGTTGCGCGCCCTGTTATGCCCTGTTTCTTTTTGGCTTCTGACCAAGGACTCCAGAGCAAAACTGTGAACGCCCAAACGTAGGCTCTAGACGGTTTGTGCCCATACAAATAATACTAATAGAAATAATAAATATATGTTTTAAAAAAGAGGAAGAAAAAACATGTCCCGCAAGGGAGTCTGAACTTACCCACTTGAGTAGTAATTGTGCAATGTTCACCCTCTCTGTTTAGCCCAGTCTAATTCTGGCAGGAATCAACTGAAATGTGCGTCAGTTGACTCCATCAACAGCGGGGAAACACCCATTTGAATGCCTTGAGTAGCATGGTTCTCCAAATTAATTTAACCTGAACTCTGACATGTCCACGAAAGGCTCATATTTACCAAAGGCAAAGCAACTCCTTTCTTGCCTGATAGGTGTAGTCACGTCGCCCTGCATGAGCAATTTGGAGAGCCATAGTGGAAACCATGGCGATGGCACACAAGCTGTGGCTCATACAAGTCCCAGCAAGTTTCCGACTGTCAGCCACTCGCTTCCTGCATGTGCGATACAACGCACATCACCCAGCAAAATCATGTCAGGCCGCGAGCTCAACCTGCGCCTGAGCCGGGAGGCGCATGCGAGCGGGGTTGCTGTTTGGCGGTCGTTATGCTCTGGTTTCGTTTAGGGTCTGCTGTCCGCGCCAGTTGATCAACAAATGTTCTGTTTAACAGAAGGTGCACACCCCAAGTCCACCAGGTTCGTATTGAAGCAGTTTGCTAGGACACTGCTCATTCACAAAGCAGCCGAGGGATCTGAAGACTGAACGAAACCTCAAGCTGGCAGACCCAACACACTCGCCTGACTGACTGCAAAACAAATCACACGCACTGCTCCCTTTGGCCCACGGGATGGACATTTTTACCCAATCGCGAATGCAAGTTGCCAGCTCTGGATGGTAAATGTTTCGTTCCTGGCAGCTATGAACACAAGGATTAGCTGTGGCCAGTTCGCGTACCCATTCAGGCAGTGTTGGCGGCAGTTGAAAGCCCGAGGCCTGCGTCATCCGCCCTCCAAACAGGCAAGAATTGCGCAAAATTAGCAGCCAAACACAGCAGACATTCGTGGGTTGAATCGGCTACCAGCTCGACGCGTCAAACATATCTGCGGCGGTTGCTCCCAAAGGCACGCAACATAGATAGAATTCAGAAAGTTTCCCCAAAAGAAAGCCAGGCTGGGCTTGAACGAGTTCTGGGGCTTCTGTTTTTTTTTTTTTTTTTCCTTTGGGGTTGGTCAAGCATCGCCTTGGCAAGCGGAGTTTCCTGGGTGATGTTTAATGCTAACCCCGGATGAATAAACTCCTGGTTGATTAATAGGGGGTGTTCCCTTGTAGTAGGGATTCATCACTTTGGGAGGGAACACCCCCCTAATAATGGGACGGGTTTATTAAGCTTGGGTCAGCATTATGGAAATCCTTTACAAGCGGTTACCAGGGTCGGCAACCGCCGCGCGCTCTTCCGCGCTGTTTCGAGCGCGGCGCAGGTTCAGGACTTGCGGAGGCAGCGGCAGGAGGCTGAGGCCAGGAGCGAGGACTTGCAGAAGGACGCCTTCGGGCCGCGTGAATATCTCCTCGCTTCCTTATGGCACGCGAGGGCTACCCTCCCTTCCACTAACTTGGTTTTTCTGGGGGACTACCCGGAAGATTGGTTCCTCTTCAAGGGACCCCATGCCTGGTGCTATTGTTAGTTGGAGGGGGGGTAAATGATGCCCAAGTCGAATGAAACAAGCTTCTGAATCAGGTACGGCGAAAAAAGAAAGAAAAACACCAACACGGCGCTTTTTACCTTGTGGAAAAAACCACCAGCTGGTCCCCCCCCACCCCCCGGTGCGACCGGAAAAGATGTGCCGATCCCCGGCTGCAACTCGCTTTGCACCCTTCCGCAATCCTTGGACCTGGATTGCTGTTAAACGTGAGGGTGCGGCGCAAAAACGTCGGAGTCCCCGGAGTTTTGTTTTTTGTTACCATGTTTGTTCTATATAACGATTTGGGTGTGTATATGCAGGGCACCCACGCTTGTGGATGGTACGGAAACTAGAGGGAAGCCAACCTTTTCCGGGCCCCCCATTTGGAGACCCGTATGTGCAATGGATAAATTGCACTTTACACGACCGTTCTTTTGGATGCTTCTGGATCCCTTGCGGGAATTTGGACCATAGGCCGCATAGGCGCGACCAAGAGCTGCACTTGGCGACTAGTGACTCGTGTCTATTATCAAGTAACCCTTAGTTGGTGGTTTTGATTGGTGGTTTGGATTTGGATGTGAACCCCAATTCCTTTTGAAGCCTAAGCTACCCGTCCAAACCGCCAAACCAAACCATTAGGGGTAAGGTGGCGTAGCTGACTGGCCCTACAACCCACCCAACCAGAAACGGATCTCGAGGAGCTGAGGAGCACCACAGAGTTGGGGAAAAGGACGGCGCGACAGCTCCAGAAGGCGCGACCGTCGAAACCGGTTCAAGCGAAGGAGGCGTTTTCTCGGCTTCTCGGGTTCGATGACGATGTCAACGTTTATTTCAGAAGCTCACTTGTTCAAAGCTGACCTTTTGACCTTCTGGTTTTCCCATTTTGCTTCATTTTTAGTCAAGGTTCCAAAAGGTGAACCTTTTAGTTCCAGGTCCTTTGGGCAACTGAGGAAAACCCGGATCCCGAAATGGCTGGCAAATAGGATCCCACAACCAGGAATCAGGAGGTCACCTAACAAACCGTTGGACAGGTGTTCGGGGGGGAGGGGGGGGAGGGGGGGGAGGGGGGGAGGGGGGGGAGGGGGGGGGAGGGGGGGGGCTGGGAGTTTTTTTGTTTTGTTTTTTTTATGCCCGATTTTTGAGTTTTAATTCAGGAGTTCCGATTTGTTCCAATCTGGGTAGATTCTGACGATGCCGACGTCGCACATGAAGGTTTCTTTCATCGGGATCCCTTCTTTTTCGGTGGGTGAATCATAGCCCAGAGCCCGAAAGCAAGCAACCTTCGCAATTGTTGGAAACCGTCCTGTTCTTGGGAAACACCAATCTGAGCCTATTGAAAGTGGGCGCCTCTCCAATGTTGGACCTCTTTTGGGAATGAGGGAAACCTAAAGCACACCTCGGCCAGCTTCTCGTACGGCCTAGGGCTCCATCTATCTGATACGGGTTTCGCGCGAGTCCACGTTAAAAGCAAGCGCTCGCTATGAGGTAGGTCCTTTGCGAGCGTATTTGGGGCCCTCAAACAGCCAGGTTTTGAGACCCCCAAACACCTCCAGGGTGAATGGAGGGGTGGTCTTCCCATTGAAAGCCTCTGGGTGGGGGGGGGGGGAAAAACGGGCCTGGTGGTAGCTCGACTGGCACCTGAGCTTCAGCCTTGGGCCCTGGGATGCCATGCCATGACATGCATGGATTGAGAGCAATGGGTGTTTTCTTGAGATGTCCGTTCTGCGGTGGACACGGGGACACCACAAGGAACCTGGGCCTTTCCCAAGATGCGGCTTTGTACAAGGGGTTGTTCAGAGCCGCTAAGTGAGAACTTTGTGGTGTATCGCTATTTGCTGGGACTTTGCGGTTCACTTGCAGCAGTGAGCGTTTCTCGAGTTTCGGATACCTCCAAGTGGTTTCCCGTACATGGATTCCCAGATCGAGTCTGTCGCAAAATGGACACCACGCAGAACGTGGATTTGCTTGAATAAGCACAAAGGAAACCCGACCAAAACAGACACAACCTTTCTTGAAACAGACGCATCGAAATGGAATCAGCCGCGCGTCCCTTGGCCCGCCCAAAATCCCGCCTACGTCAGCAGTTCCACAATGTCATGTGTAAAGCCACTGTCAAGGGAGAAACCAAGAGTGACCCTGAAGGAGGGATACCAAAGAAGGCCTTCTGGGGCTCGATTCAGCGTTCAGTTTTCCCGGGGCCGCAAAGCACTAAGCATCCTTGCGCCGCTGTGGATGGCAACCCGGGCCCTTCCTGGGCTCGAATTGCAAGGCTAATTGCTGCCATGGTCATAGAACCCGCTTTCTTACATTTGCCGCCCTCTTGCACCTAGGGTTTGCAAGTGTTTCAAGGTTAACCCTTCCCTACCATCAGGGCAAAGATGTCTTAGTCTCAGAAAAATCCAATCCTTGGCCAAAGAGGTCTAGGTCTGGAATTGTTGCAATTTGGCTGTGGCTCAAGAAAGTGGTACCAAAATTGCACCTAAATGGAACCAAGGACCAAAACCTGCGGTTTGCCCCTCCTCTTTCATTTTGAGCAGCCATTTGCACCCCGGAGCCACTGCTTATTGGGGCAGGGTGCTTAGTAAGTGGGTGACAACTCTGGTTATAACCCACTTACCATGGCTATACGTTTCCTGAGTGGGACATAGCCAGACTTGGCAACCGCCTACGAAGTACCCTGCCCCAAGTGGGGCAAAGAAGACGTCGTCTCCGGGCCCCGGGCTCTTCAGGAAGTGGAGCAGCACAGAGCGCGGGCAGATCAGCGGATGGCCTCGGAAGCCGAGCTTCTGGCAGAACGAGCTCAGATGCTGAAGGCGACGGGAGAGGATAAAAGGCGCCCATTTTTTGGGTAGCTTGGTTTTAAAAATAGATGGGTTCCGCTGGTTTAGATGGACTCCAATTCCATGTACCAGGGCCACATATTTTTCCAGAAGGCCGCCTATGGAGATGATTTGTTCTTCAGCCCCTATGGCTTGGATTGGGGGGTGTGCGCAAGCCCTTGGGTTCTTGCGGGTAAATGAGAAACCTTCGGAGAACAGCTCCCATTTAGAGCACCTTGGCTAGTCCCTGCCCAGCCAAGCTCCAGAGCCAAAGGGCCTGGAGATCTTGCTGCGGTTCAGGTCTACGAAATGCCAGTGACAATGCGACTGGTCAGGAATTGGAGAAGCTGCCAGCAGCACAAGAAGACATGTTTCCATATCCAACGTTCCTTCATTTCCTTCCTTGAAACTGACTGCTTCATCTTCATCATCATACTTTGGAAGCTTCTGACTGCTAACTAGGTGTTGCGGATCAAGGACACTTTTTTTTTCTTCTTCTTGTGTTCGGTGCCAGCTTTGTCTCCCTTAGGCACCCGCGGTGTGGGTTTGATGCTGATATGAGATGGGGCTTAGACATCACCCCCCTCCTGCGCAGGAATTGGAAGACTGCAGGGCCGAGGCTCAGCTTGCCAAGGTGCGGCTTTTTTTTGAGGGCGGGAGAGGTCAACCATCACTGGGTCAATTTTGAGGGTGTCAGTTTGATGGACCCGCTTGTTCAGTGGACTTCCGCAACGCCGAGGTTTGTTTGGTTGCCCAAAAGTCAAATCAAAAGTCAAATCATCCAAGCAAAATGGGTTGCCGTGGATCCATCCTGCTGCATGCAGTCAGAAAGGACAACTTGCCAGGTTGCCTGTAGCGAAGGTGCTCTCTCTCCCATGAGTAACTTGACACGTGGGTCACAATTTTCATGGCCTTCCCCCTAAAAAAAGTAACTTTGGCCAATCAGCGTCCGAGAAACCCGACATCACCTGCAAATGGCAATCAACTTCTGAGAAACCCGAAATCCAAAATAGTCAGAAGAGGAAGCCCACTTCTATGCCGATCCGAGCCCATCAGGAGGAGGCCTCAGCCGCGAGTTCGCAGGCCCATCAGCGCACGTGTTTCCCGACGCCCACGGTTTTGCTGGCGAAAACTTGAGCTTTCCCTCGCGGCTTCAAGCATCGGAAAATGTTGGAAACACTACCCGCAGTGCCAGGTGAGTTCTGCTTTATGAGGGGAATCGTGGAGAAACCTGTTCAACCTTTTACTTTTGGGACATGAGCTGCGAACCAGCAATGGGATTTCAGATAAAATTATAAATGCTTTTCATTGAGACTGCATCCATGTTGCGGACAATGGCAAGCTCACAATGGCAAACAGGACTCACGAAATAGGTCCTTTACTTGCAAATACTTGGATGATGGCTTTTTGATCTTGCCCTTCCCCCCCCAAACTCCTTTAAACACAGCTATCTTCCCCCCCCCCCCGCCCAAATCCCATTAAATTAAAACAGCTGACCATGTCACACTTACGAGGCTCACCAAAAGGAAAGGAAAGTGGTCCAACTCTGCATCAGGTGTGGGAATTATGCGTCTTACTTGCCCAAAGCCGGCCTTCTGGCCGCCACTTGGAGTATTTTTCGTCATTTCTGGATCCTTTGGGCAACATTTTGAGCAGCAAGTGGTCAATTGGAAGGGATCCTGGCCACCAGGAACAACACCACCAGGAAATTAGTGACTTGTTTTCCAGACCGCCTATATAATTGCGTGAGGCCTGGGTCTTGCTTGGAATAAAAGCTGGCTTAAAACGAGAAGTACCAAGAAGAAAATACCTTAGAGGTCGGTGATTGCAGTGAGGGCTTGTCACTTTCGGATGGCATGGGATGTGGCCAGCTCTGCTTTAGCGTTGTGATTGGGGACAGCGCCACCCAGGAGGATGTTTGTTACCCTCAAGTCACTACCCGCAATGGGAAATACGGATATACAACCGCCAGTATATACGCCAGTATAAACAGGATGTTCGGTGTAGTGGTTTTGGCTGTAGTAGTTCTGCATATATGTCCAGGTACGGTTATCACGCCGCTCACGCCGTCACATTCCTCGCAAAAAGCGTGACAGTGACGCACTCGCATTGCTTTGACTATCCCCCCATGAGTATGCGATATTCGGCTTCGCAGACCAAGGTGGAGCCACCAAACGGGGGTTCCTCCGAAAGGAGCTGCGCGATGCATAAACGGCTCTCAGTGGTTTGACCGTCCGCCAAGGAGGCTTTTTCATCCCAATTGCCCTGTGCGAGCTCGCCTTGGGGGGGGGGGAAGAAACCTTTGGCATGTTAAAGTGGGCCTGGTTTTTCATTCTGCACCGTCTAAATCCCCCTGTGGTTGGTGAGTTCATGAACTCACTCCCTGAGTTCCTGGACTTGAAACTGTTTGGGCCGTCCACTGGATCGGAAGTGAGTGAAGCATCCCAACAAATCCAATTCGCCACACGCTTTGTTCATCCCATGGCGGAGGCCAGAGAGGCCAGAGAGGCGCTGGAGGCGCGACGGTGGGCGGCGGGTGTTTCAAGACCTGGAGCTGTGGGCTGAAACAGAGCTCGGCATGTATTTAGGGAGTGGTCAAAACTATGGCCCCCCTTTTTGTTGACCGTGGTGCCAGCGTGTGCCGCCTTTGAAAGGGGATAATTACAAAGAAAGTGGCCCTGAATTTTGACAACCCCCCCCCCCATTTACACAATGGTGGCTTAAACATCCATCAGCGCCCTTTGCCTGCCCAATTCTTTTGAGCCGTTTCGGCGCAGTTGGTGGTTGGGCTCGGTGGTTTGGATTTGAACCCCGGGTTCTTGCAAGGCAGTGGGGAATCCTCCTCTGTTTCACCTCCAATCCACGAGTTAAGTTGCCTCGCGGGTTGAACCCTTGTTATTTTGCCCTTGTTGCCGTGGGCAAGGGGGGTTCGCCCTGTCAAACCCGCAAGGCGCCTTTGATTGAACCACGCCAAGGGTCCCTTCTGAGTTATGGTCTGTTATCACTTGCTCAAGTAGCTTGATTATGTGTAGTAAAGCGAGCAGTTGATTGACGACAATTGTCACCCCGAAAGGGTGGGACACCCCTTCAAAACTGAGGGTCTCCAGGCTGCCCTAGATATGAAGGAGAATCTGAACGTCTTAGTTTTCAGCTTACTGTGAGCGCAGGCGCCCACTGCTTTCCCCACGGCTGGAGGTCTGGGTGGTTCAAATCGAAGCCCGTTCCAGGCAAGCGAAGCAAGCGAAGCGAGCAAAGCGACAGAGGTCCTGGAGATTGAGCCGCGCGGTGGAGTGATTCTCATGGTGTGTTGTTTTTTGAGGAGCCTTTTTCTCACTTCCCAGAGGCTCCGGGCTTTCAATGGAAGACCCGACTCCATTATATAGACACCCCGCTGAGGTGTTTGGGACCCGGTCTCAAAACCTGGCTGTTTGAGGGCCCGAAGGGGAAAAAAAGAACATCGAATTGGAGCCTCTGGGTTCCTGAGTTGCGGGACAAGTTGTTTTACTTTGTGGGAAGACAGTTTAAGTTTAGTAGTGAACAAGAAGATGGGACGCTTTGGCCCATCCTTTTTGGCCCATCCTTTTTCAACCCGGTCCGAGGTGAGTGTATGGGTTGTTTGGACCTGGGAAACGTGAGCACCTCTCAAATTGGTGGGCCCCTTTTTTGGTTTTTCGCAAAATGAGCCACAGACGAAACCTCGAGGTGCGGCCGAGCTTGTTGATAGATGCTGCTTGCTCACCAACTCCTTGCAAAGGTTTCCTCTATCGCCAAAGACCTCACAATCCCCCGCATTTTTTCGCCGGGAAGTGGACACGATTAGCATCGAGCTCCAAAGCATTGCCAGACCAAAGGCTTGCCCTCTCAACTTTACTTTGTTGATGCTCCAACATTTTTGCGCAAGCAAACAATTAAATGGTTGCCTATTTTCGTCTGACCTAGGCCCTCCATATGACACCCCAGACGAATTGTGTTGCTGTTTCTTTTGAGGGAAGCGGGAGTGTGGTTCTTCTTCTCAGTGCGAAGGCTGCAAAGCACACACCGTCTTTTGCATGCAGGGGAAAGTGCCGGCTGGAAGTAGGCCCTTGATACTTTTTAACCTCTGGTTCACTAACATGAGGCTCCATGTTCATGGATGGGAGGAGATTCAAGAGGGACGAGTAGTGGGACCCAACCATTGCAGGTCCAAATCCCATTACATGTTCAGCATTTCCCGGGAAGTAACTCACCAACTTCTAATGGGTGACCGCAGCTCTAGCAAACAGAAGCTGCCCAAACATGAGTGCCTGCGTGTGGCTACCTATCAAAATAAGGCAATCCCAATGTGGCTTTCCCTTTGGTTTTCCTTGACGAGCAACCTGAAAAGAACACCCTCACACAAAACATGACAAGGACCGACCATGTTACTTGCATCAAAGACCGCGGGAAAACCATGGTTTGGACAAGAAATTGGGTTTGAACTACTTGGCCACTTTCTGTTGCCAAGGGAGTCTCCCTTAAGTGTCGCATCCTTGTTGGTACAACAAAAAAGGAGCCCATGTTCTGCCATGCGGGCCCCCCGTGTGAATCCAATGAGGCTAAGCCTAAGCCAAAGCTCCAGGTGAATATGTTGAATGTAATCAGCTCTGGGGGCATCTTTGGGGAGGTTTGTGCCTGCGTCTTGCGCCCTCACGCCCCTTGGATGTGTGTGTGTGTGTGTGCATTCACTGGTTTTTTGGGGGCAGGACAGTGGCTGCAAACAACCCAGTTCGATGGCACCCACTTTCCCTTGGCCCTTGGCAGAGTCCACACCAAATATATCACAATTGAAAGGGGGCCACACATGGTGGAACCAACCTGTCTTTTCTCGATGTGTTGTTTGTGGCCCTACCGTGCAGCAGCAATTTGGAAATGGCCCCTAAAAGTGATGATTCCAAGTCTTGTCTACCGATTGGGGTGAATTGAGTGTGCCTCATTTTGTGAACTTGCTCCAGGCCCTTCATTTTGAGGGCCTTGCTCTGCGGGTTCTTGGACTCCCCCATGCTAAAAAATGGCATCGGAGGGGGAGCGATATTGAAGTTTCTTGTCAAGCTCAATTTCGGACCCCCTCCCTTCCCGGCCGTACGCCTTTTTTTTGGGGGGAGGCTGGGTGGTTGGGCGTTTTTTTTTTCCCCGAGGCCACCCCCGGGTCTAGGCCTGGGGCCACCCCTTCTGGCGCCAGAGGACCGGGAGAATATGCGGTGAGAGCGCGTATCCGGGGCAAGTCTTGCGGAGAGCGTTGGCGCGCTCTCCGTTGCTTCAGGATCCTGACTTGGCGCTTCATCGCTTCATCCTGACTTGGTCCCGTCGCATTTTTTCTCAGCCAGCCAGCAGTCGCTCTTTTACACTCATGAATGCACCGCGCATGGCTGGCAGCGCAAATTCGCATGTCGCCCGGCCTTGTTCTTCCTTGCCTTGCAAGGATGCCGGCAGTGCCGTGGCCCTTTTCTTGTCCCCAGTGGACGCAACAAAGCTGGCAGGAAGACCCGAAAAGGAGAAAGAACGAGGGTTGACTATGGCACATATCAAGACCCCGGACCTTGGCATAGTCCGTTTCGCACTACAGGTCTTTCTTTGGCGGAAGGTCATTTTGGTTTTGAAGCAGTTGGGTTACTTGTTTTGGCAAACCCAACGTGAGTTGGAAGTGAGTACTTGATATAACCAAGGTGGCATGGCTTTTCATTCATTCGTTGTACCAGCCGGGCGCACCATAGTGCATGAAATTAGCCCTGGACCTTTTGCAGGGGAGTAGCGGCCCCGACTGAGCGTTTCTAGACTTTGGGACAGGGATATTTGGGCACTTGTTGCATTTTCCTGGTGGCTTACAGTGACAGTGAGCAGAAGATCTTGACGCTCAGATACAAGCATGCCTAGCTCTAATGACGAGAAAGCAATCCACAGCAATGCTTGGTGAAACCCTGCTGCTTCAAAAGCCACGTGAATTTTGTTGTCGGTTTCGCTCCGGACGGGCGAACTCGGCGCAAGGAGGTTCTCCCATCCAGAAGTTACAGCGCCTCCTTGCTCTTAGCCCACCGCCTTGCCGCTTGGCGCTTTACGTTTTCGCTGGGGGGGGGTGTGTGCTCAGCGTTTCTTGGGGGGGAGGTTGCACTCGTTCCCTGAGTTGGACTTGTAAATTTTCGGGAAGTTGTAGACTGGCAAAAAAAAGACCACCCTTTGCAAGTGCTCTCAGCTTTTGTGGAACTTCTGGGGCCTGAATGAGGCGAATTTGGGCCTGCTTCTTTCGCAGGGTGCCTTTTTTAGGGTTGTGTAAACGGAGGCCAAAAGAAAGCCGTGTGCTTGCGGTTGTCCTTTGCTTTAGCATCCCAACCAAGGCTCACGTGGGTGTGTTTGTTTGGTACTCTTTTTGAATTTGAAGCTACAAAGGAGACCATCAGTTTGAGGGCTCCTGCATTTCAAATGACACTTAATGTCGGGCCTTGTTTAATTTGTGCCCCCCCCCCCCTCCCGAACAGTCAAACCATTGCTGTCCTGAGTTTAGGTCTGGCAGGGAGCTAGGATGACTTGAGTAGTGCCTTAGAATTGCCGATGCCCAGCAGTTCCTGTTGGATTGCCACTACTTAGTTTGGTATTGCCTAGTTTGAATCTAATATCGCCAGGACTTGCTCTCAGATTTCCAGTGATTAGTTTAGTATTGCCCAGTTAGAATTTCGTATTGCCAGGGCTCACCTTTTTAGATTTCACGTACTTGGCATAGTATTGCCTCTAAATTTAGTATTGCCAGGACTTACTTTAGATTCCCATCACTTGGCTTAGTATTGCCTAGTCTAAATTTAGTATTGCCAGGACTTCTTGGCTTAGTATTGCCTAGTCTAAACTTAGTATTGCCAGGACGTACTCTCAGATTCCCAGTGCTGAGTTTTGTATTGCCAGATTTGATCCACCCCAAATAAGGTTTCGACGTTAAAGAAGACCCCCAAACCGTCACTTTAAACAGAATCAGGGCCTCTTGTTATCTAAAATTGATGGCTTGGGGACCACTTGCAAAATTCATGTGTTCCCCTTTCAAAATGGGAGTTTCATTACCCCCTTCGAAATGTTGGAACATAAAGCGGCAAAACAACAGTCATATCAAACAGAATCAGGGCCTTTTGTGGGCAACTCCCTTTCTGACTGGTTGCCCTTACTGTTGTTTAACAAAGTTATTTTACATTGATGATTTTAATACCACTTCAACAAAGGATTTCCTAATGTTATCCAGATTCGTTTGCCCAGATTCGTTTGCCCAGTGATTCGTTTTGCCTTTTTGTTTTGCCCCGTTTTTTTGGCAACAAACACTGGACATAAATCATGGTACCGAAACAGTGGGGGGTCGCGTTTATGCCGAGGAAACTTGACATATTTCAGGGTACCAGTATTTTTCCAGGTGGGACTTTACGTTACTTAAGCCTGATTTGGGGCGTATCTACACGTCAATTTGAAGAACGACCCGGGAAGCCTTCAGCTTCTTGATGGTGGGTTGACAAACATGGCAGCCCGTGGCAACAAACGCCCAGTTCCGATATCTCGTTGGGATTTTTTTTTCCAAAAGCCTTTGTGTCTCATGACCAGTCCTGGTAGGCTCGAGTGTCTCACCCAGTTTCCAGGGCCCCCTTTGGGTTGGACCCCAGGTGGCTGTGGTGGTCAAACTAGTTGGTAACCCCAGAATGGCATGGTAAATGGAAACAAGGACTGAAACCTGTGGTCCCTTGGTTTAATTTTGACCCATACCCAGGTAGGACACTCCACATGGATCACAGGGTCGTAGGTGTCGTTTTTGGGTGAGCCTGGTTCAAAAATCGATGGGTTCCACTGGTTCAGCTGGGTGTTGCACCTCATTTCGCCGGGGAAGCCCATCAATTCTTCCAAAAGCCCACCTATGGATCACCCAGGGCTTTCCTCCGTTGGCCAGCGAGCCCGAGGCCGCCTTCAAGTTCGGGCCCCCGGGCTTGGAGCCCATTTGGGCCCCCCACATGGCCCATGTGGCGCCGGAGGCGGGGGGGGGGGGGGCTTTTTCGGCGCGGCGGACGCAATCCCAGGGGCGTGATGGTTTTTTGTTGTTGTTTTTTTGTTTTGCGGGTTTTTGGGGGGTGGGCTTTGGCTTCTCCTGGCGGATCAACTTGAGAGACTGCCTCTCTTTGGTTGTTACTTCTGCCTCTTCTTATGTTTTTTTTTTTGGGGGGGGGAGTGCCCTCATTGCCGTGACACATCATAGCCTTGTTGCTGCAGACATGTTCTGAGCTCTCCGATATGTTCGATTTTAAGGGCTGAATATGGAGCATTTGAAGGCACCTTGGGTTGGGCAATGTTCATATTCGAATCTTGGCGGTGACCATCCACGACGCCTGCCTCAAAGCTTTCGACTGGATGGTTGGGATTTCTTCGGGTCGAAATTCCTATACTCTTGACAGATGGGTCCGCCTGGGGCTAGAACGAGCTCAATCGTGATGTAATCTTCTTACATTGGTTTCTTCTTTCAGCTGTAACAAGTAGTGCAGATTCAATACCCAATCCGCTCATTCATGCATCATGCCCAGCAAGGTCAACCCTTCAATTCAACCATAATTTGAGAATTGTTGATATGTAATTAAAGGGTATAAACGTGTTCGTTTGTTTCTTCTTTTCTCTGAGGCCCAACCAACCAAAATGGAGCCCATATCCCACAGGATGATATGGAGTTTCACGTCAGGTAGGCAAAAACACAAAAAGCCTGACCTGACATTTTGCCTTGGATTACACGCCTTGGGGAACACAAGCCAAACAACGCCCCCTGTCAGGCCGTGGTTCGGAAGCCCAAGGCGGTCAAGGCCAAATCGGCCAAGGCGGAGCCAAGGCGCCGGCCGGCGACCCGAAGGGCGCGGGCCACTCACAGCACCTGGGCCCCGCAAGTGGTGGGAGAGCCTAGGCCCAGTGTCCTCCCTGACGTCATCCCCCTTTGGCTACAACTCCAAACTTGCCAAGTAAACTTCTGGCCCCTCTGAGAGGGGTGACGTCAAAAAGCACCTCCCTGTTGTTCGCCCTTTCCTCAAACTTGCCAGGTAAACTTCCGAGCTGTCAGAATTCAGGCTTCAAGTTTGTGGCTTGCCCCAACTTGCCAGATGCGACTGCCTCACAGAACTTGCCAAAAAAACACCGCACCGTTTTTGCACCGCTTGTCAAAGGGCGAATAAGGACTTATTAAGGGCTTAATAAGGGCTTATGCTCTTCATTGCTTTTCTTTTTTTTTTGCGGGGGGGTCCTGGAAGTTGCCGCTCGAGGCCATGGCTGAGTCATGCCGACTGCAAGATGTCCAGGTTGAGCTTTACTTGAAAAGGCGGGCAAAAGGAATCTTCCTAGGCCCCCCCTTTTTGTGGGCTCGTTCATTTGGGACTTTGGAAGCCTCCGTGCATTCCGTTGTGGGGGTTTTGGTCCAGTTCCTCTGCGCCAAAACCCTTCCCCCCACCTCTTCCCGCACGTTATGGAAGTTTGACAACTACCCCCCGAACGTTCCCCCCCCCCCCTCAAAAAAAGGTTCGGAACACTTGGTGTTGTACCCTTATTAAGGGTTAATAGCCTGGTTAAGACTTAATACGCCTTTATTGGCGGTTTATTAACAAAAACACAAACAACGGCTTATTAAGGGCTTGGTAAGCCCTAAATAAGGAAGTTGCCCAAGACGAGCAACCTACCCGTTGTTTTGCACATTTGCTGCCTAGCCCCTTTTTCCACTTCTACTTTGCACCTCCAGCCCTGACAAAACTGGCTAAACGGCCTCAGCAGGTGCCAAACCGCCTGGTGTGCTAAAACACGCAGCGGGTATGAAAAAACAGACTTATTTATATTTGTTGATGGCTTCCATGAGCTGTAATGTTGAGCCTTCCGCAAACTTTGCCCCCGAATCCCATACAGTCCTAGGAAACAGGACAATCTAGCATCTAGAAAGCTTGGATGCGCGCATGGATTTTACCAACCACTTGTTACACTCCACTAGCACACTTGCTCCTTTCCAAAAGCTCTTATGCCAAAACATATACACTGTTGCTCAGGTTTCACGTCAATTTGCACGGAGTTCCGGGTGCATTCAATCCAACCTTCGGGGCTTTGTGTTTTGCAGTTGCCGCCAAGGAAAGGCAAACGAAGCGGAGAAAAGCTGAGCCACTGAGACAAAACCCGTCGTTTTTTCTTCAGAAGGCTTGCGAGGACTCTGCCTGCCAAGAATAAGTCATGGGCGCTTGTCGTCCTATCGGCGCAGCTTTGTGCGCAGGGCAGGCACAAAGCCGCGCAAAGCTGCGTGAGGAGCCCGTAGCCAGAAGCTACTCAAGGTAAGGAGAGGCAACATCATTTTTTTTTTAAAAAAAAAAAAAAACTCTTACTTTTCAACTGGCTTTCCAGTTGGCAACCCCTTGACACCTGTTGAACTTGAAGCGCAGACATGATCCGCAGCTTTGCAAACCAAATTTACCATGTTTGGTGGCTAAATGACTCACTGTCTGAGGGACAATGTCAGGTCGATTTCCGGACACAGGAGTTGCACCGGCCAAAAGGCTGGATTGAGGCATGCTTGGACAACCCATGGGTTCGTGGGGCAATTCCTTCAGGAAAATGCCGTGTTTGTTCGGGCCTTCCGTTTGCCAGTGGAAACTGTGTGAACATGTTCGTAAAAAACATGAGGAAACTCCCTGCGATCTTTTTCAAGCGCACATCATCTCGACAAGTCACTGGAAAACCGCTCCTCACGACGGTTTTGCAGCCGCGCGGCGCGTCTCCCGATTGCTTGCAATCGGCACTTCGTGGATCTCAAAGCGCCCAAGACCCCCCGCAAACAAAGAACAAGTTGGCCATGCGGGGGGACATGTCACAATATGGATTTGGTTTTCCATTTAGTATCCCTTAATAAACTACCCCGAGAAGGGTATCGTCGAAGCAACACGCAACCATTTGAGTCCGGGCTACTCCTTGAACTTGGTAGTGAAGGCCCAGTCAACATGGAAGCTTCCTGGCACTGTGGAGTTTTTATTGCCCAAACAACCTGCCTTCTAGAATTGTTCACAGCGGAAGTCATTTCGGGGTTTGGGGCTCGCTGCTCGAATCACCCAATTTTGCAACGGCTTGCGGAGGGCGCGGTGAAGCCGTGATCGGCATCAGCTGCCCCCGCGGGGTCTGCAAGTTTTGGAGCCCCGTGTATGTGACGCCCAGTACGGTTGTTTCTCACTTGTTCCGTTTGAGTAACTGGCAGTCGGGAAGGACATTAAGAGGTTCAACCCAAAGTTCGTGAAAGCAGGGGAGAAGCGGAGGAGGGGGAGGCCGAATCCAATCCGCCATCCAACAGGGTGTCCATGGCAGGAACGGCACATTTTGACTAGGCCAGGAATTTGGACGGTCCGTCAAAAATGTTTTTCCCACAGACCACAAGGAAATGTTGTTCGTCAAGAGGTCCCCAACTGACCTTCAGGCCCATCTAGGGGTTCTTGTGAAGTTAGCGATGCTGAAGCTTGTGTTGGCAGGTCTTTTCATTGGTTCAAGGGCAAAACATAGAAGTGTCTTGCCATTGGCGCATTTCAGCGCGGTGCGATTGGACGCCAACGCATTGGGCCTGTCACACATGCGGAGCGCGAGAATTCGGGCAACGTTGGGTGGCTCCACAAACCGGTATAGGGACAGTGCTCTTCTCAGGTTTCGGACAACAGCTTAGCAAAGTATGGCATGTTTACGCATGATGCAAGTGCTGTACCGGGAGGGTGTCCCTCATTTCCAGCTTCGAATTATATGAATTTGTGCAGATTCTGTTGCCTGGGATATTTTTTGACATGAATTTACATCCTAAGGTTCACTGAGTAGACCTTTTGAAGGAGAACTTTGCCAATGAGCCCCGATGGCCCCGGATTCAACGGTTGAGCATTGCAGAGCACAGGCGTTGCGCAGCAAGAGGAAGACACATGCGCCGATCTTGCGGGATGTCCTTTATGTGCTGTTAAATAAGGGGAACCCCAAAAAGGTTGCCTTTCCTTTAGTCTCCTGCAAGCTGAAATAGATGCCCTGCAAAAAGTCACTTCCTCAAATTCACCATGGCTCATTGCTAAACTGTAACCGAAGCTGTTTGCCATTTTCTGCACCTTTTGCCTTGTTCATTTCCCTAGTCTTGACTTTTGGGCCCAGAGTTGACCCCCACATGACTCGAAGGATGTCTACCAGATCAGGATGAGACAAAAGCTGATGTTCGGAGGAACTGTTTTCACTTGTTGGACTCTTGATTCCAACTTGAGCCTCACTTGCCCAAAGCGAACTCACCTGATTTGACCCTTTTCTGCCACTGTCATTTTATGATAGCCCCAATGCACCCGTCTATTCCCGTCGGGCTATGTAGGTGGTCAGCGCAAACCGCGCACTTCTCCCGAACAGTCTGTTGACCACGTTTCCTTTCCGTGCTGATTGCACTTGAGATCAGAGATCCTTGGTGCCAAATGGTCGCTTTGGCAGCCTGTGAGCCTTTGAAATCTTCTGGCTTCATTGTCTGATTTGAATTTTTCCATGGGTCACATGGTTGCAACTGGGAGGCTCCAGAACTGCATTTTTTCTCATTTGGGTTTGGACAACCAAAAGGTTACTTGGATGTACAAATCCACCTCGGTGGCTCGGAAGTGACTGCTTGGCTTGGTTTCCTCCAGCTGCCCCTACCGGGAGACCTGTATTTTGGGCTACTGTTTTTTCTCCTGTGACGCTTGGAATGTCAGCAGGTGATGAACAGGTGGTACGGATATCATGTCTGGGGTGCCTGACAATCAACGAGAAGGTCTGGCTTCCCTTGGTAATGGGTCTTGCAACCAGAGAAGCTTGGGGCGAGTTGGTCTCTAGGGGTTGCCGTGGGTCAAAAATAGGTGCCCAAGATTGAACCCTGGTAAACAAAAGCCAAGGCCCAAAACCTGCGGCCCAGTTGAATTTGGACCCATGCCCCATTTCCTGAGGCTTCGTGGGAACCCTTTTTGGTTTCGTTTGGAATTTCAAGGGGACTCCACGGGGACCACCGAAACCGGCCGTGGATTCAACCTGCCGCCGAAATTGTCCGAAGGGAACGAGAATTGGAATTCGCACCCGGGCAAAACCCCTCCCACTGGTGGTGTTTTGTTTTAGATTTCCCACACTCATTCCATGTCTCGTTCCCTGATCGCACCAGCAAGTTGACTTAAAGATGTGATGATGTGCTTGATCCCATTTTGCCTACTGTGGATGGACCACCTCCCTCTGGCACCAGCAAATGAGCCACAATCCCAACCCTAAATAGCTGCGGAAAGCCGCCTTCCTAATTTGTTTCGCATGGTTCTGGGCTTGGACCATTTTACTACCAGGTTTTGATTGGTCCACATTTGGGGGTGTCAAGAGTAGGTATAAAGTGGGTTTCCTGGCAAATGGAAACAAGACTAACCATGACGTAGACCATTTTTGTACCAGGTTTGATTGTGACTCATTTTTTGTACCGAGGTTAATTCCCTTTATCGCACTATAACTATGACTTTGACTACGGGGTTTTGACTTCAAATCTAGGGGCCCCAGTAGTGCCCTTTGACCCTTGTTTGGGGGAGGGTTCCCCTGCTAAAATAGACTACTGGAAAAAACATAGGGTACCAACTTATTCTAAGCTCTCTACTGGAGGACCTAGTAATTTTCCTCAAGACAAATCCTGCAGTGAAGAATTGTCCTCAAGACAAATCCTGCAGTGAAGCCCCGGGTTGCATTCCGTCATCCAGTTGGAGAGGTGCTGGTCTTCCCCTTGAAGGTTCAAGTTTCTACTGCACCTAGAAATGCCAAATGGACCATGGCACCCCCAAAAACCTTGGCCAGTCAGCAGGAACCATGGCACAGTCCACCAAGGCACCATGTTTTTTCTCGCAGGACCATGGCCAGCACCTTCACCAGCCTGGCCGGGCTGGCGCGGGACACCGCCGACGCCTGCGCCGCCGCCGCGGCGCCTCGGGCGCGAAGCGGACGCGAAGCGGACGCGGAGCGGACGCGAAGCGAACGCCCCGCGGGTTGTTGTTTGTATTTGTTGCGTGTTTTTTTTTTTGGGGGGGGGGGAGGGGGGGGGGGGTTTTTTGTTTTTGTGGGTTGGGTTCGGCACGGCAAAAGGGTGGGTCTTTTGTTTGAGGGGAGCCCCGGAAATGGCCCTGTGTTCATTTTTCACCAGCAACTCCAAAAAATGGACACCCAACAAGGTCTTTTTGGCGCCTGCGAGTTGCTTCTAAGTGATGGACCCCCTTCTGGTAATGAATTTGTTGGCTAAGATAAAAGGGAAACACGCCATTTTAGGGGACCCCTATTTTGAGGGCACAACCTGGTGGACTAGGAGGGAAAGTTGAAGTTGCTTGATCTTGGATCCTCTAAAGTGATCGTTCATGAATTCAAGCAGATAGGCCCTGTTCTTCATGTTTGCCAAGGCCACAGGAATGTCAAACCAAAGTATCCGATTTTACCCTGCCCGTAGGTATATTGATTGATAGCCCCAGCCTCAGTTGGTTGACAGTCATCCATGCTTAAGTCACCCACTTACCTGACGCAAGGTTGGCCTTATGATTTCTTTCTTGGAAAATGGAAGGACCCGCTAGAAGCGTGGAGACCCTTTTGGAGGGGCTCCCTTTCTTCCCCCATAAGGGAGCATTCTTCCAAAGGAAACCCTGACCTGGCATAGAATTGTTTTTGGGCAGCGTTTTTTGTGCCAGTCAGTAGCCTGGTGCAGAATGTGTGCTATGTGTGTGTGCTTCTTGATGCCCAAATCCAATGACAGGCCAGCCCTACAGGATACTGGCGAACGGCAACAGTCTGCTGTGCGCCGGATGTTGTTTGTTCTCGGGTTGCGAGTTGGCGTTCTCTCTGGGAAGGCTTGCAACTCGTCTGTCACCCCGCCCCAATTAAATCCCCGTCCTTTTTTGGGGGCCCACGTGTTTGTGCGGACATGTGCGGTTTGCAGCTGTTCGCGGCGTTTTGAAACGAGGTGATGGTTGGTGATGCCCAGCAGCATGCGCAGACCCTCAAGGCAATGCTGGACAAGCTGAAGCGCAAGGTAGAGGCATGCGATGCCCGAGGGGGTGAGAGAGAGAGAGAGAGAGAGAGAGAGAGAGAGAGAGAGAGAGAGAGAGAGAGAGAGAGAGAGAGAGAGGGGGAGAGAGCCACACGTGCCACAGAATCCCCAGAATTCCAAAGGTTAAACGCGTCAGGCTTGATTCGGGCCCAGCGTCTCTACTAAGTGTGTTTGGTGAAAGATGGAGAGGAGAGCTCAACTTTCGACCTTTTTTTTTGTGGTTAGTTATTTCGACGTAGAATAATTTGTCCCATCTATTTCGGAGAGTTTCCCGAACCAAACCGCAACAAATCAGGGTTTTGGCCACATCCTTTTTTTTGCATTGTCCATGTCAGCGAGATTGAACAAGTTGAGCCTACACAGGTTGCGGGGCGGCTGCATTTGGCATCCTTTCGGTTTTCCATTTGGCTTTCCCAATTAAAGTTGCACCTGGTTTAATATCGGTAGTCTGAATAATGTCAAGTTTCCCCGGCTTAAACCCGACGCCCCCACTGCTTCGGTACCATGATTTATGTCAAGTTCAGACCCCCAACAGAAATGTTGGAAGTCATCCAAGCTCCCTGCCAGATCCTTAGTCAGGATCCCCGAGCACTGCTTTGACTGTTTGAGGGGGGGGGCCACCGTAAACAAGGTCCAACATTACTGTATTTTGGCCTTCTTTTGGTGGCATCAGGCTGCTTTCAGTTCGTATGTTGGTTTCATGTTGCTGTCCTGTTGCTTCATGTTGTGGATTCTCCGTTGCTTTGAGAAAATCGTGTCGCTTTCCTGTTCACTTTTTTAATTGTTTTCCAACCTGCATGTTGGTTTACGGTGGCCTTCCTTTGGGCTGAACATTTTGGATACCTGGCCTCTACTTCCCATGTGTCGCGGTGTGGTGCTACAAGTAGCACGAGGAAACCTTTCCTTCGCCTTGACAGCCAGACCAGGCTGAAATAGGGAAGAATGGTGAAACAAACTTGACTGCTATTGGGTTGGATCTTTAGACTTTAACTTTCTGGGGGAAAAGGGTTTTCCACTAAACCCCAAGAAGTTAAACTTTTTTGCAGGGGGGTCAAGAGCAACCAAGCAAAGAGGCAGTTGAGTAAGAGGGCCTTCAGCAGCACTTACAAAGAAACGGGAACGAACTGGGCAAGAACTTGGCCGCGCCTCGCTGTCCAATCCGCAGCCCTTGCAGCTTCTGGTCACGGATGTGGTATACTGCCAGTCACTTCGAAGCAGTTTCCAGACTTTTTTGCGCTTTGAGATGACCGATTTGGTGACAAAGTTATGAACTTCTTCTGACAAAGTACCGCTCAGGAAGTGAGACAGCAGCATAGCAGTTTCGCCTGAGGCGGCAGTGCCAGCTTCGACCGCAGAAAGAACACACACACGCACCGGAAACCCATGACCAATCCACTGGTGTCTCAGAACATATGTTGCATCCAAAGGTTGACTAAATATGGAGGCTGACTATGAACCAAAATTCTTACTATTTGCGGTGTGTATCCCAGATTTGTGCCCCAAGCGTCCTGTTGCTGTCCTTCATCCAGCCAAGTTCATGCTGCGGCGCTCGGGTCTTTGGGTTCCCTTTTTGTAACATCCCCGAAGGAATGTGTGGAAGGGGGCCGATCCTTCCCCATAATTCTGTGCAAATAACAAAGCAGGTCACAGAGGGGCAAAACGAGTCCATGATGAAGGACCATTGGCAAGGGGCTCCCCTGATTTTTGAGTTGGGAAGTGTATGAAGTTGGTTCACTTCTCTGGACTACACCCTCTTCGGGGAAAGACGGTTTTAGTTTGTTAAGGCCTCCATTTGCGGAATTTCCATTTGGGTGTGGGTCAAAATCAATCCACTAGACCGCAGATTTGAGTCCTTGGTTCCATTTACCAGGCTTCTATTTGGTACCCATTTTTGACCCACAGCCATTTGGGTCTGTGTTTTTTTACCGTGTCAGTTCTTTAGTCTTCGTGGGAGGTGGGGCTTGGGCGAGCCATGCCCCCGAATCATACCCCGAACCATACCCCCGAGCCATACCCCGAGTCATACCCGTTAAAAAACACAAAAAACAAACTTGCAAGAACTGTGGCATTTGCATGTGATCCATGGATAGCTGGAAGCTATAGGGGGTTTGACTTCAAGTGAAGAAGGGGGTCTTGTCAAGAAACAGTGTTAGAGAGCTTGACATGTGGAGCGATGCCAGGGGGTAGGGACTCCGAGGTAATACCTGGTTCACTTGTGGTTGCTGGATCTATTCTTGAGTCTGCGATGCTTGCATGGTTGGGCTCTGATGTCATGGGGCCAAGTACAGTTGACATGTCCACTCACACACTCACTGGTTACTCGGGGGTCCATTTTGGCTCAAGTGGTGTTCCTTGACACTTGGTCCTCGGTTTCGGCTTGCTATTTTCAATGGAAAGTGCTAATGGATGGAGTTATAGAGCAATCCTGCGGATGTCCTTGGAGTCCTGGTACTAGAGTTGTCTGTAGCATCCGTGGTGCTGTGGCGGGGGGGTGCCGCTGCTGAGCTTGAAACTTGGAGCTTGCTTCCTGCAGTCTGTCCGACGCGGTGGAAACAGCTGTCTGTCCTGGGCCACTGTCGCAGTGAAACACAAGCTGTCTTTGTGCTCCTGGGGTACTCTTGGTGTCTTTCCGGTCGCAAAAATATGTCCCCCGATTCATACCCCCGATTCATGCCCGATTCATACCCCGATTCATACCCTTCTGCTGCCATTTGCAGCCAAGAGCTTCTTGCGCTCTGGGCAGTACTAGCGAAGCTATGCCGCCCAAATCCTCAAAAGACACAAAACTCAAAGAGAAGCACTGCAGGAACCAGCTCGCGGCTCTTTTCGCATGCGATGTATCAAGCGCGACACGGTACACCACCTGTGAGAGGCCCACTAGCCTCTGCGCGGCTGCTGTTTGAGGATGTCACGCTGTCTTGCCCTTACGCTGGTTCGTGACTGGTGCGGGTGGCGGGCCTGGCTGGGCAGCGGCGCTTCCCCTTAAGCAACGCTTGCTTGGGTCTGTGAGCACGCGGGTCGCTTGAACTCCAAGTGGAGGTGGCCATGACGTTCGCCTCAGGCAGTGGCTCTGTGCCTTCCACCTAGCGCAGCAGCTTTCGCTAGCAGAGTGGCAGCTGTCTACTTCAGGCCACTCACAAGCGCCCCAGGCTGGCTTGTAGCAACTAAGCGGTCCAAATTCTCACGGCTATCCAGTTGCCAGCGCACGGGAGCTTTGCAGCGTCCAAAGCCACAAAGCAAGAGATCAGAGGCGCGCGAGCCATACCCCGAATCATACCCCCGAGCCATACCCCGAACCATACCTGCGATTCATACCCCTTATACCAACACGGCCACGTCAAAAAAACACACACCCATTTGGGTAGGGACGGCCATGGAAGATGCGCCCTGGCGCTGGCTGCGCCGCAGCCGGGCCGGCAGCCGCAGTGTTGTGAGCGCACAAAGTGGGGAGCATCCGCCTAGCGAGGTGCTGAAGCACCGCGGCGCAAGAAGTCCTAGCCTCCCTCCAATTAGCGTGGAACCTGACAGAGGGGTCCTCAAAGACCATGTGCCTTTTTAAAGGGACCCCCTGTCAGGTTCCATGTTATTTTGGTGGGACGGCAAGTCTTTTGGAGAGCCGATTTGGATGAAGTGGTTTCGTTGCATGTGTGTGTTGGGGGGGCCGGGTTTGCTGCGCACGTTATGCATTGCCATATCAAGAATGCTTCACACATCCTCGTTGATGTTTCTGTTGCGTTTGTTGTTGAGGTTTTTTTCTTCTCCCGTTTAGATGGTTTGCGTTTTGGCGGTGATTGCTTGGTTTCAGATCATGCAGCCCCTGATGTGACTTGGGGGGGATCCGGCAATGGTTCTGGTTCCCAAGTAAACATTTTTGAGCAGGGCTGTCGATTTATTTCGGGTTTACCTTTGGAACGGCATTACTGGACCCTGCATTGAAGGGGTCACCTCCCTCGGAAGGTTTTGGGCCTCAAAACGGACCTTTTCGAGGGCCCCAGATGCCTCAGGGCGAAATTTTGAGGATGTCATGGATCAAAAGCCGCTGTCCTCAAGAGGTGCCTCTACAAAGCTTTCGGGGTTCTCGGAGTTCCAAGTTCATATCTGCGGCAGTTTGGAACGGCGGGGGGTGCTTCACATCCTAGTTTTCCCGTTACACCACCTGTGAGGGGCTCGGTGCAAGGCATCACCACGCGGTGGAAGAGCTCGAGGACCGGCTTCTGGCGCTGCTGTCCGGCTTTCACCAGCACCTCAGTGGCATCGACGGGGATGGATTTCTTTGGGTCGCAGCCGAAAAACCGATTCGGGCGGAGGCTTTAGAGCGTCGAAAAGAACGCTCACCAAAACTGGTCTCGAAATTCCACAACCCCCGCAAGCCAACACGGGCGTTAGAGTGTCGGTTTCCGACGCTCACCAAAGCTGGTCGGAAAATTCAGGACGCAGCGGAACCAGCCCCCTCCGCCCATTGAGGCAGGTGGCGGCTGACCAGCGCCAGGCGGAGCAACTCCAAGAGCGCCAGCTGGCACGCCAGGAGCGAGTTCGGGCGGACATTCTTGGGTTCTTGTTTACTTTTGGGGAAAGAACGTTTTAGTGGTATACAATGTGCAAGAAGCCAAGGTTGGACCAGTTTTCGAGAATCCGCCAATATGTTTTCAGGTGCGATTTTGGCGATTGTTTGCTTGGTTGACGTTATGGGAATAGCTGACAACAAGCACTCCACCCAAAGACCTAAAACAAGGGTTCGTTCGGGACCCGTGTTCCGTGGGTATATTTTCACAAGTTTAGGTTTTTTGTTTGTCTTCTTTTTTTTGGCGGGGGGGGGGGAGGGGTGGGGGCATGAAGGATTCCTTTCCAGAATCTTTTGCCGGGATTTAGTCTTGGTTTGGTGGCGTGAAGCGGGGTGGCTTCCCATCTGCCGGAACCAGGGCTCCAAGTCGAAAGTCCAAACCACGAATTGAGTTACCGGGGTCTCGCCATGGGGCCTAAGGGAAAGCTAGACAAAGAGGACATCTCATTTTGAGAGCACACCTCGCTACAGCTCCAAACGCTAGTATACAATATCGAGATACTCGTTCATTTATGTTCAACATAGAATACATCTCCCATATCTGTCTATGTAAGCCTGCTTTTCTTTGTTGCATTTTGCTTGGATGTTAAGGATGTTGGGCCCGGTGCTGCATGCTCGCCAGGAGCAGCGCCTGGAGGAGGCCGAGAGGCGGGCGTTTGGGGCCAGTGTTGGGAAGGAACTTGCGCCACTTGCTGGTGCGAGAGATGCAGGGAATGAGAATTGGAATGACCCCGACTCCATGCAACTGGTGGTTTTTGTCTTTATGGGCACCCTGGATGCTTGGCACTCCATCACAACCTTGAATAAACTTGGGGGCAGGGGGGATTTCGACCAGTGGGATTCCCTTTTGTGACCCTCCCACCAACGAAGATGGAACCTGACGCTCGAGGGGGTCTGGGTTTATCATTTTCCTTTCACAGGGCCCGTTCCATGCGTCAATTGGTCCCGGACCGCCCGGAAGTCCCCTACCACTTAAGCTTCCATTTGCTGAAAAGAATCTAAGAACATATGTCTTATTTGCTGTTGGTTTTAAGGAGAATCACTTTTCACTACTGGACAGATGTCGCAGATCTACGGGTGTGTCTTTGTTTCTATGCCCCGTTTCGCTGGTGGTTTTCCAGGACGAGACAGCCCTCCACCCCCTCCACCCTCCGGGATGCCACCGCCAGGAAGCAGCAGGTCCTGGAGCAGCGCTGGGAGGATCAGCAGATGCAGCTCCAGAGCCTCCGGGAGGCCAGCGACGGGGCTCGGCTCGGTGGGGGGGTTTTGGGGACCCCCAAAATGTGGGGCGTTGGGCGGGTGTTGGGGACCATGGGGACCCCAAAATGGGGGTTGTAGCGGTTGAGTAAGACAACATCTGGCGGAATTGGGGCCTTTTGGTTTAGTTGGATCTTGTGGTTGCTTTGGCGGAATTGGGGCCGATCTTGTGGTTGCAGAAGGATCTTTTGGTCTTAAGAAGGATCTGTTGGATCTAGTTTGTTTCTGTCAATGTCGAACAATTGTCTGTGTAGGCGAAGAAAAGTGGTGCATTGAGTGCATTCAGGGACAGAATTTCTGAGAATGCCAAGCAACATCTACAGATCAAGCAAAAAGTGGAGCTCTGACGTGTCACTCTGACTGAAATGGCCCTTTGCAGCATGGGATGACTGGGGAGCACCACTCAAGACAAATATTGATCAAGCCCCTCCCCTACCCAGCGAAATCTCCAGGAGCAGGTGGCCTGTGAGGGACACCGTGCCCTGTGCAGCGAGCGCCAGAAGGCCCTGACAGCAGAGGTGCGGGCCTTCGGCGCGCAGATGCGAATCCAGCACACCGAGGCATGCGGGTCCCGGGTGGGAGGTGGAGCCTTGGGGAGCCACATCCTGGGTCCTCTGTTTGGGGAGGAGGGGAGGAGGGTTTCCCATTTGGAAAATCAGAGGGAAATCCTAAGAGACCCTAACCTTGAAGTTGAAGAGGAGCTTAAATTATTGTCTGAGTTCCGTTGCGGACTTTTAGCCACTTTGTGGGACAGTTTTCCGCAAACAAAAGGGTTGAACTGTTTGATGGGGGTTCGTGTGCAATGATATTTCTTTGGGGCAATCAAAACATGAAACGGAAGCTGAATCAGCATTTGTGTAGCACTGTCTCGTTTGGTTTGAACCTTTTTAGAGAACTTTGGGACTACTTGACAAGAAAACAAATAGGAACGTAGCTTGTTTTCTTGACTTTTTGCGGCGGGGGGGGGGCGCATTTTCCGGTCCAAACCTATTGTTTGCATAGGGAAAACTAAATATGATGCAGAGTCTCGGCATTTGCCTGTAGATTCTTTATCTTGCTAATTCTGCATTTTTTTTAGGGAGACACACCAAGAAAACTGCCGGGGAAAGAAGGTGGCCTTTTATATTTAAACAAGAGCCCGGAGGCCTTTAGCCCAGTCCCCTTTCCAGGAGAATTACCAGCAAGGTTGGGAAGCGGGAACAGAGGGGGCATTTTCCAAACCATGGAAGTGCACGATGTCAGGTGGAAGGCTTTCAAAACCTACCTCCATTGTACCGCTCAGGGCCCCTAGATTTCTCTTGTGTGTTGCTTGAAGGGAGTCCGAATTTACGGGTTTTAAGCCAAAAAATCTCACACTTCAGTCGAGTTTCCTTGAACAACGTGTCCTTGCTGGCCAAGTGGCCCCTGGTTTTTCTCCAAGCCTTTGCGCAGGAGGAGCTTCAGCGGAACTTGTCCGAGCGCCTCAGCCCACTGGAGCCGGGATCGAGCCGATCCCAGCGGCGGAACCAGGTCATCGACCTTCAAACCTGTTGGTTTTCCCTGAGCTGGTCCACATTTGAGTCTGGGTGTGAGTAGGTACAAAAATGAAGCCTGGTAAATGGAAACAAGAACTAACACTGACCGTGGGTGAGTGAATTTTGACTACCCATTTAGTCGTGGCCCCAGAAGATGGACCTTTAGCGTTTTGATTTCTGGGTCTTCTGGGCATCTCAGCAAAGGTTAATTTCTGCTTGGGCGTTGCTGGTGCTCAGTAGGGGCAATGATCCTTATACCTTTGGGCTCAACAGGATGGGATGATCCAACAAACCATCCACTGGTTACACTTCCCTTTTTTGATGGCATTCGTTCCTTTTTGTCACCACTGGTTGCACTTCCCTTTTTGAATGGCGTAAGTTACTTTTTGGACATGTTGCCATTGATTTCTGCCCAACCCCTGAACCCCCGAACCAGCAAGTGGAGCAGAACTCCCAACTCCCCAAGGGCCATCATTTTGGCAAGTAGCCCTACCTCGTTTCATGGGAGTGGTGGAACCACATGTCAAATGAGTTTTGGGCGCCGCGCCGGGATTGAACGCCTGCTACTTTGGGCAGTCGTCAATCCGATGCACGTGTCTTGCTTTGAGCAGGATTTCCCGTTTCAAATCAACCAAAGCATGCCCTCCTCCAATGTTCACTGGAGGTACAAGCTGTTGTTGAAGAATAGCGACGGTGAAATACTGTCTCCTATGGTATCTCACGGCCTGCGAGTAGAACGAGCTCAATGTACGTCATTTACCTGACGGGATCCATTAAGGCAGGCTTTGTGTAATGACGGTTCATTTTGCTGAGATTTGCTTTTGTTTTCAAGTCCCGTTTCGAAATAGAACCCCTCTGCCACATACGCACATCAGAGTTCACGTCGGATGAATTGGAGTGCTAATAACTATGTGCTGCGAGTGGCGCTCGGGAAAATTTGGGAATCCTCTCGAAATCTTTCTTGACGTTTGGGGTGGGAGCTTGCCCCCCACACCCTAGGGATCGCATCACTTGATCCACACATCAGGCTCTCGAGCCGTAGCCGCGTAGCCCGGGGGTTTGGGATTTGAAGCTCTGGTCCTTGAGGGTAGATGGGGGGGACCCCTCCACCAAAGCACCAATCCGAACCACTGGGAGGAAGCTGATGGGTGGTGGTGGCTTGGTGGTTTGGGGGTCCAAGTCTGGCTCCCCCACGCGCAACTGAAAAAAGACGCTTTCTCCTCTCCTCACATTACTGGGTTGCTTGGGTTGCTCCTCCGGGCTCCCAAAAAGTGCAACAAATGCCAAGACTCTGAGGGCATATTCGGTGTCAACACGACAATACATTGATGCCCCTTGGCCAGCCGGGAAAACCGGCATGACACAAAGGTGCAGGCCTCCAGGTGTTTCAGTCTCACGTTGATTTTCCAGCACAAGTCGAATCGATTCGGCTCTAGCGAACACCGCACGGACGCCGGCGAAAATGGCCCTCTACACGCCAGTGAACCCAACCTCAAAACGGGGTCCCATTTTCACAGGAGCCGGAGTCACTCAAGAAGCCCCCCCAAGATGCAACGCACCCAAAGGTGGCCCTGAGAAGATGTGGCGCGCTCACCATGTAAATGAGCTCTGTGTGATGCAGGAACTTTGAAGATCCTGATTCTTATGTCAGGATTCCTAGGATTTGCAGATCTACGGCCCCAAAAAGCCCCATTTTGTAGAAGGAACACGCCTGAAAGGGGACTTGGGGAACTTCCCTCCTGAAATTTCGTTCCTTGAAGGACAACCACAAGAAAAGCGCAAATCCAAGAGTCTCCAAAGCTGTTGTACATATTTTAAAGTTGATGTATGGCTGTGTCTTTGCTTAGAGGACCCCTCCAACATGGAGTCCGTTTTTCTCTTGGTCTCCCTTTGACCCCGAAAACGGGTACCCCCCAAAACACAAGACACATTCAGAGGCAGAGGCTCCGAACATCTCGTTTTCTGCGTAGCGCTGGCCGTGTTGCGACGTCCAAAAGTCACGGATCCCACGAGGAGCAGCGCCTGCGACAACTGGAGGCCCAGAGCCTCGCCAGCGCCATGGCGCGAATGTCGCGAGAGCGAGACGTGGGCGTTTGGCGCTCGGAGGCGCGGGGATGCGGGACGCTGAGTTCAGGTGCAGCTGGTGGAAGGGAGCCGGTACGGAGCTGGGGGTATCTAAATTTGCTCTTGGGGGGGGAGCTGAGGAGCTACCAGGAGTTCTAGAAGGACTTGGAAGAGGTAAGGTTGACTGTTGACCTCATCTTCAGCAGCCAGCCAGTTGATTCATAGGGCGTCCATTTCTGGGTGAAATGTGGGGAATCAGACCACTTTTTGGAGGAACACCCCCCCAAAATGCACTGGAGTTGATTCATATGGGGTCAACGTTAACCCTTATTTGGTGGTGTGGATTGGGAAATGTGTGGTTTGATATGTGGTTTTTGTGGAGGGTAAATGGGAAACCACCTGCGAACCACCAAACCACCAATCCAAACCACCAACTAAGAGGAAGCTGATTACAGTATCGCCGATTGGGCATTGCCGGTGACGAGTTGGATTTCCCTCATTCCCTGCTGAGCAGCAAGTAAAGGGGACTCACCCGAAGGGTGGGGGGAAGCTTCCTGTGACACGGAAATGGATTCCCATTGTGACATCGCTTGGCAAGGGATTGGTGATCCCCATTTTGGCCCCGTTTTGGCCGTGGGCAACATGAGAAAGACTGCCTCGCCTCCACATGCAGGACAGCTTTTGCAGCGTGGACCACGAGGACTGTTTTCTGGCATTCGAAGGCCGCAGTTTTAAGCCGCGTTGGCAATCCCATGTCGTTTTCAGAAACGAATACCCTCCCACAAGTATGGCACCTGACAGGGAGGAAATTGATCTTCCAGCTACATCCTCACAGGTGCAATATTCGTGGAGGGAAGGGTAGTAGTTGTTGGTCCATTGCTTGTCGACCACTTCTCAAGGTTTTCAGTCCAGATCGAACTTCTGGCTATGGGGGACACCACGCACGGGCAACGTAGGTATTGCATTTGCTCGCTTCCCAACCCCGGGAACTGGGAATCAGCACGCCGCGCGAGCCGCAGAATACTGCCAAGTTGCTAGCCTACGCAGTCTAAGGTGCCAAGGGAGCCTGGTTCTGTGCGAGCGAAGAATTCGGCAGCCAGGTTCCCTCCAGGGTTCCTCCAAAAGCATCCCCCGAAATCATCCCTGCTTGATTCCTGTCTTTTTTGTGTGCTTGTTCATGTGTTTCATTTGGTTTCCATTTCCACGCTCACATCTTGTGTCGCGTTTCAGGCCCCGGCCTCCATTCCGAGAGGACGGCAAGGAGGAGCCCAACGAGGGCGGCGATGGACCCCGGGAGCCAACAAAGGTCCAAGGGGCAATCGCCAGCGAGGCGCCTTGGATGCAGAAGGCCATTCTTCGTCCATTGCTGGGCTTACAACAAGCTCACCATGACGAAGGTGCATTGGATATTTTCGAGTTTCGAAAGTCTGGAGTTGGCAGATTCTTTCATGGGATTTCCACTCCGCATGTCCCGATACTGGTTACGCATCAGGATTGACAGACCCTCGTGCACGGCCCAGGCTATTCCGGGTCCTAGGTGAATCTCATCATTGGCGAGATATCACATGACCGGTTTAAAAATGTTTAAAAGGTGTTTGGCTCGTGGGTGGTTGACGTAAGTGGGAATCTGCCAGAGGCCAATGTTTGGCGTGTATGCAGCCAGAAGCCATTTTGAAGTATAGGCGACCTCACGAGTGCCAGAACCTTTCCTATGAAGCTTCCTTTCAGACTTGTGTGTTCCAAATATTCCTCCAGGGCATGTATATTTTCGTCCAAGCAGCAATGCAAACGTCAAATCGCTGACACGTAGCACGTCACTAACAGTACCTTATCAAAAAAGCAAACTCAGCTCGTTTGCCTGCATGGATGCCCCAAAACGTGGATGCGTGTCATTTGGCCGCTTGGTTCACATCAAATGTGGGTTGATATCCCGAAGGGCGGATGCTCAGCATTTGGCTGCGTGGAGTCCCCGAAAGAGCTGGGGGCGGGGATTCCCCAGTTGGCTTTGATTGCTTGCTTACGCTGCTGGAAGTTGTGAAGACCGTTTGCAACAGGCCCAAGATGTCGCAACAGTCCCTGAAATACAAACAAACATCTCCAAAAGCAGCACGGCATTCCAATTACAAGGGATAGGCAATCGACAAAGTGTCCAGATCCCGTATTGTACCACCCAGATGACAGGAACCTCTCCAAAGAAAAAAAAAACTTGAGGATGTCGTACTGAAGGGCCTTGCGGTAATGAAGGGCTGTAGTGTTTAGTGAAATTGTGCAACTTTCCCATTTGGTTTGTACTTGCCATGTTCACGGCGCGGCCCCCTTCAGTTCAGAGCCGGACCCCTTTGTGTGTTTCCTTTTTGCTCTATTTTGATGAGGGTACCTCATTTCCGAATTTGGGTGGAGCGTCGAGCGGCTTCACCTCGTCCGAGTCACTTGCGAGCGCCAGGTGCAGGATGCCCTGCAGAACCTGGAGCAGCGTTTAGACGCAGAGCTTGCCAAAGTCCGCGAGCGCGAGCCGACGCCCACAGTGCTGAAGGCGGAAGGGGTGTGTCCTCAGACCTGTTTGCCAGACCTAGACTCCCTCCAACAACCATGCAAGCTGACAGAAGGGTTTGGGGAGACTAATTAGCCCTTTGTCCACTTCCATGTTGCAAAGAGAGGAGGATGTTGCTTGAGGATGCTAAGAGAAGCGATCCCATCGCTCTTTGGGGGTAGTGTTGTAAAGGTACAGCGTATAGAGATTCACCTGCTTTTTGGGGCCTCACTTGGGAGCCAACCCCTTATTCCTGTTTGTGGGTTTCCTTTTGGGTTCCTCTTTCGGGTACCTGGGTCACTTTGTCTTCCCTGCGAGCAAGGAGCGTGGCAAGTGTGTTCCCGACACTTTTTTCATGTCATTGGACCACAAAGGCCACTTGCCCTTTTGGAATATTTTGGAGACCTCTTGTTAAGGTGCACTTCATTCTGCATGGAGTACCGTGCAACCCCGAGCAGGATGCCCTGCAGAACCTGGAGCAGCGTTTAGACGCAGAGCTTGCCAAAGTCCGCGAGCGCGAGCCGACGCCCACACTGCTGAAGGCGGAAGGGGGTGTGTCCTCAGACCTGTTTGCCAGACCTAGACTCCGTCCAACAACCATGCAAGCTGCCAGAAGGGTTTGGGGAGAGTATTAGCCCTTTGTCCACTGTCATGTTGGAAAGAGGGTAGCTCACCATCAAACGATCAAGCCAGCCGAGGATGTTGCTTGAGAAGCCTGTAAGACACTTTACATATCTTTACATGATGAAGGTCTGCACCATTTATTCTTGCTGGCGAGCTGGAGCCGGAGATGCTAAGAGAAGCGATCTTATCGCTCTTTGCCACTTGTCACCTTGTCCTTTTGGAATCTTTTGGAGCCCTCCTCTTAAGGTGCACTTTGATTCTGCATGGAGTACCGTGCAACCCCGAGCAGGATGCCCTGCAGAACCTGGAGCAGCGTTTAGACGCAGAGCTTGCCAAAGTCCGCGAGCGCGAGCCGACGCCCACACTGCTGAAGGCGGAAGGGGGTGTGTCCTCAGACCTGTTTGCCAGACCTAGACTCCGTCCGACAACCATGCAAGCTGACAGAAGGGTTTGGGGAGACTATTAGCCCTTTGTCCACTGTCATGTTGGAAAGAGGGTAGCTCACCATCAAACGATCAAGCCAGCCGAGGATGTTGCTTGAGAAGCCTGTAAGACACTTTACATATCTTTACATGATGAAGGTCTGCACCATTTATTCTTGCTGGCGAGCTGGAGCCGGAGATGCTAAGAGAAGCGATCTTATCGCTCTTTGCCACTTGTCACCTTGTCCTTTTGGAATCTTTTGGAGCCCTCCTCTTAAGGTGCACTTTGATTCTGCATGGAGTACCGTGCAACCCCGAGCAGGATGCCCTGCAGAACCTGGAGCAGCGTTTAGACGCAGAGCTTGCCAAAGTCCGCGAGCGCGAGCCGACGCCCACAGTGCTGAAGGCGGAGGGGGGGGGTGTCCTCAGACCTGTTTGCCAGACCTAGACTCCCTCCAACAACCATGCAAGCTGACAGAAGGGGTTGGGGAGACTTTTAGCCCTTTGTCCACTGTCATGTTGGAAAGAGGGTAGCTCACCATCAAACAATCAAGCCAGTCAAGGATGTTGCTTGAGACGCCTGTAAGGCACTTTACATATCTTTACATGATGAAGGTCTGCACCATTTATTCTTGCTGGCGAGCTGGAGCCGGAGATGCTAAGAGAAGCGATCTTATCGCTCTTTGCCACTTGTCACCTTTGTCCTTTTGGAATCTTTTGGAGCCCTCCTCTTAAGGTGCACTTTGATTCTGCATGGAGTACCGTGCAACCCCGAGCAGGATGCCCTGCAGAACCTGGAGCAACGTTTAGACGCAGAGCTCGCCAAAGTCTGCGAGCGCTTGGAGTCGACGCCTCAAACGGCGTCCCGGCGATAGCGATGCTTACACCGCCCTTTGGAGGACCCACCCCACACATATTCTCTTTTGAGGAAGACTGCAATAGACCGAAGCTGGCGGTGTGTTTGGGTACCTTTCGTTCAATTTTTGTTTCACGACAAAGCCAGTGGTGGATTTCGCTGATTTCACTTTTTTTCGCATCATTTCAGCACTTGGGCTGAAGTCCACAGGTCACAGGCACATCCAAACCGTAGATGATTGTGGCACCATGGCTATCCGGGGAGCTCAGCCTGCAAGAAGCAAGCTTACTCGGGAAGCTCTTTCCATGGGCGTTTCTGGGTTTGTCACATTTCGGATGAGTTTGCCTTGGGTGAAGTTCAAAGTATGCATGGAAGCCTGTTGAACCAAGGGGTGCGCAAAATCCCTCATATCCCTCTTCGATTGCCAATTTGGGGTGGCGCCACTCTTTTGCATGTTGCTGCCGATGGGACCAGCCGTCTCCCTGAGCATTCCTTTCACAGTAGGAGCGGCTGGTTGAAGCAAGTTCGGCACAGCCCTGGTGGGGCCGGAAAGCCACTGGGGGAGCCTCTGTCGTTTTCGTGGGTCTTCGATCGCTTGCACCAAGGTTCTCACACCTCCAACAGGGGCAGTTTTTGCGGAACCTACCAACAAAATGATCAACACAAATACAGAAATCCAGTGACCCTTGTAGAACCCATGTTCAAAAAGTATCCCCTCGGCGCAGGGTTTAAGAGTCCTCTTAAAATTGTTCAAGAGTCCATTTCCGAACTTGACAATTTGGTGGTTTCCAGGTATTTGTTTCCCTTGAGTCCTTGCAGTGCCTTGCTGGTGCTCAGGAAAACCATATGGATGGACGACATGTTGCATTTGAAACCCACAGGAAACCACTGGTCGTTGGTATTTGCAGGGGGCTCATGCTTCGGTGCTGCTCAACCCCTGAAAAGAGAGCACTGTCCCTTTCAACCAGCCTGACTAAGAGCACTGTCCCTGTAAACCAGCCTGGCTAAGAGCACTGTCCCTTTCAACCAGCCTGACTAAGAGCACTGTCCCTGTAAACCAGCCTGGCTAAGAGCACTGTCCCTTTTAACCAGCCTGACTAAGAGCCCTGTCCCTGTAAACCAGCCTGGCTAAGAGCACCGTCCCTTTTAAACCAGCCTCACTAAGAGCACTGTCCCTGTAAAACAGCCTGACTAAGAGCACTGTCCTTGTACACCAGCCTGACTAAGAGCACTGTCCCTGTAAACCAGCCTGGCTAAGAGCACTGTCCCTTTCAACCAGCCTGACTAAGAGCACTGTCCCTGTAAACCAGCCTGGCTAAGAGCACTGTCCCTTTTAACCAGCCTGACTAAGAGCCCTGTCCCTGTAAACCAGCCTGGCTAAGAGCACCGTCCCTTTTAAACCAGCCTCACTAAGAGCACTGTCCCTGTAAAACAGCCTGACTAAGAGCACTGTCCTTGTACACCAGCCTGACTAAGAGCACTGTCCCTGTAAACCAGCCTGGCTAAGAGCACTGTCCCTTTCAACCAGCCTGACTAAGAGCACTGTCCCTGTAAACCAGCCTGGCTAAGAGCACTGTCCCTTTTAACCAGCCTGACTAAGAGCCCTGTCCCTGTAAACCAGCCTGGCTAAGAGCACCGTCCCTTTTAAACCAGACTAAGAGCACTGTCCCTGTAAAACAGCCTGACTAAGAGCACTGTCCTTGTACACCAGCCTGACTAAGAGCACTGTCCCTGTAAACCAGCCTGGCTAAGAGCACTGTCCCTGTAAACCAGCCTGACTAAGAGCACTGTCCCTGTAAACCAGCCTGACTAAGAGCACTGTCCTTGTACACCAGCCTGACTAAGAGCACTGTCCCTGCCAACCAGCCTGACTAAGAGCACTGTCCCTGTAAACCAGCCTGACTAAGAGCACTGTCCCTGTAAACCAGCCTGACTAAGAGCACTGTCCTTGTACACCAGCCTGACTAAGAGCACTGTCCCTGCCAACCAGCCTGACTAAGAGCACTGTCCCTGTAAACCAGCCTGACTAAGAGCACTGTCCCTGTAAACCAGCCTGACTAAGAGCACTGTCCTTGTACACCAGCCTGACTAAGAGCACTGTCCCTGCCAACCAGCCTGACTAAGAGCACTGTCCCTTTCAACCAGCCTGACTAAGAGCACTGTGCTTGTACACCAGCCTAACTAAGAGCACTGTCCCTGCCAACCAGCCTGACTAAGAGCACTGTCCCTGTAAGCCGAGGATGAACGCCTCTGCCTCGCCAAAGGCGAGCGCTTTGAATCGGCGCCCTCTGGCCCGCCCGTGGCCCGGCCAGAAGTTCTCGGATGATTCGCCTTCCACTCTAGAACAAATTCATCTTTTGTTTGTTGTCCCGTTGGCCCTACGTGGGTTGAGTGTCCAATGGCCCTCAGGGTGTGGACTTGACTTTGTGGCCCTTGCAGGATGGGAAACCCTCAAAGATTGCAGAATTTCCTTTTGGTCCCCCTTTAAAGCCACAAAGAAGAGGTACCCAGAAAAAAGGGATAGACCCATTTGCTTCAGAGTTGTTGTTTTGTCTATTTTCCCATGTCGGTTTTAAAGGGAATCCAGAACTACTAGAACTACGGGGCAAGAGTCCTAAAGCTGCCGCGCAGGACAGCAATGACTCGCCAAAAGGGAATCCCATGGCATCTGCACAACTCCAGGTGTGTCGCCAATTGGGTGTGGCTCAAAATTAACCAGGAGGGGTTACGCAGGTTTTGGTCCATTTTTCCACTTACCAGGGTTCCATTTTGGTACCGGTTTTTTGAGCCACAGCCAACTTAGTCTGACCAGGGGAAATTTGTAGGGAGCTTTTGATCCAGCCCAGCGACGCTGCTTCTTGCCGACTTGGTTTTCTCCTTGGCTAACACTTCCCCTGCCAACGTCAGCCAGTCTTTCCAATTGCTTCGGGCAAGCGCCCGGGGACATAGGGAAGTGTCCAACGCGCCAGACTCACGTTTCACTCAGGAAGGTCTTGTTGTCAGGTTTCGCAGTTGTTTCGTTTGGGCCACGCCACGCCCGTGTCGCCCGTTTGCTGGCGAAGCCTACTCATATGTTTCACAAGGGTGGAATTGCAGCATTTTCTGGTGGAGTGGCCTGGTCTTAGTTTTAAACCAACCCCTTTCACCAAGGCTCATGCATGAAACGCCCCCTTGCAATTGGCCCTTAGCAATGAACGGCAGTCAGTGTACCAAGAAACCAGCACATAGGGCTTGGCTGCTACTTGGTTGGATCTTTAGACTTTACCTTGTTGGAATGTTTCCTGGACAGCAACATTTTCCGGCTGGTTTGGCCGTGGTTAAGGGGATGGCATTTCCACATCAGCTGCAGCTGAGGTTGAGCAGGTAATTGAGCTGGTCGCAAAAGTGCAGGCGCCCCGTGCCCTCCCAACTCGGCCAGTCAACTGGGGTTGGGCGAGGGTGTGGGTCCTTAGTTCGATCTCTGGGAGTTATTAAAAATAATTTGGCTGCTTGCCTTTAACCGTTCGCATCCTTTCACTTGTGGAGTGGATTTGCAAAATGCCGAGACCTTCTCTGACAATCATGTTGCACGTTGATTTAGGTTTCCTAAGTCAAGGGCCGGCATTGAACGATGCTTTTTTTTTTTGCGCAACGGGTTGAGGGACGCCAAGGGCCCCGAAGTTCAACAGGCCTACAGACAACCATGCTTGCAGGGGTAATCTCAGCTTTTGAAAAGAGTCGAAAGCAAGAGCAGATACGACAAGCCTTGCTGGCAAGAGGGGTTTTGGGAATGAACCCAGGGGTCTTCTTGAAGGAAGCCTTCATTCCCCCTATTGGGAACCAGCGCGAAATGGAAGCTGACAAGACTGTGAGCTGTGCTTTTCGAAGAGCTTGTGTGTCCATGCCGCGTCGGAGGTCCTTGCCTTTCGCGATCCTGAGGTGGAGGTTACAATCCTTCTTCTTGGTCTACATGATTTTATCGACTTGTTCCGTGGCACCCTTTGTCCGCAGGTGGCGGAATCAGTAGACTTCGCAGGGTTTCCCCTTTTTATTGGCAAACTTTTCACCAATGCCAAGGGCCAACAAAGAGGTAAACATTTCTGGGGGTGATTCCTTGCAAACAGCAGCCGCCACCGGGACAAGCAAGCTTGCGCTTCCAAGCTCGTGTGTTTCCAAGGATTTGTTGCCTATTCCGCCCGCAAGCGTTTGAGGCGCCGGCTGGAAAGCGGGAGCCTGCCCTTCGAAACTCGGGCGTTTCAAGCGGAATGCTTCCTGCGCCAATCGTGGCGGCAAAGCTCCAGGGTTCCAACCGTTTGCTTTGCATGGCAAGCTCTCTCTTTCACTGGCGACAATGTTGAATTACCTCGCCTCTTGAGCAGCGTTCCTACAGGAATCGTGTGGGAGACTGTGCCCACGGATGAAGAGCCTGACTCCGATCTACTTGCGCGCTCGAGCTGCCTTGAGAGCTCTAAGTCTGACATCCGGCTATATCCGGCTGTCCTTGCAGGAGAGCCATGCACGGCCTTGTGCTGCAGATGCATGTGCAGATTTCTCCGCAAAAAATCGCTTCACAAACAAAGAGACAGTTCATTGGTTTAGCATGTAGCTGACCAAAGCCACGCTTCCTGAGTGGTTCAAGGCAGCGTGCTCTGACTCGTTGCACGCTTGCGTCACCACCGAGCCTCACCCACCTGTGCTTCCTTTGATCGGGCCCAAGGGCTGGTGGCCTGGGCGTGGCTTGGTCTGAGGGTGTGGCATGGCTAGCCAGTCCGTTTCATCCAGGTGGGTTCAGGGAGGGCAAGAGGCCCCAAGGACAACCGCAAGGAACACCGTTTTGTGTGGCCACCCCGCACACGGCCCCGTATTCTTACACATTCGGAACTTGTCCTGGCCGGTTACGGCATGTTATGAGTTGGACCCCGCGGGCCGTTGCGACGCCAGGCTGGCTTCGCGGAAGTCCGGGGACACTTAGATGCGCCTGGGCTGAAAAACTGCAGTCCTTTCTGTGCGGGGGAGGGGCGGTAGCAGTTTTTCGAGAGGGGGGGAAGACACCTGAACACAGTTGAACACTTCAACACCCTTGGGCAACGTTCAATTCAATTTCTTTAGCAGGATCAAAGCGAGCCGGGTTGGACATACGTGTTAGGCCAACTTCAATCGAGCTTTTTTTTCGGTGCGATGAAGAGAAGGCACTCCAACCTTTGGCTTGTCGCGCGATGACTTCCAACCCTTTGAGGAATTGAGGGGCCCTTCGGAGTGTGAGCAACTTTTCCACAACGCCAGTGCTATGCATGTGTGTGTGTGTGCGTGTGCGCAAGCAAGTGTGTGTAGGCTGGTCGGCCTCAGCCCGCGTGACTGGTTTCATGATGTTCCCTTGGCATCTTCATCATTATGTTCAGCGATTTGCATAGGTTCAAACTAGAGAGAGGTGTTCAAGTTGATCCATCTTTCCGGTTCGGTTCCTTTCTGTGAAAACGACATGGCATCGTGCATGAACAGTCAAGATGTTGATTTAAGTCATCAGAAGGAAAGGACTGATTGATTGGTTTATTCTTATTTACCATCTATTCATGGCGGTTCTGGCAAATTACGACGAGTTCACATAGGCGGGGAACATGAGTTCACCCATGCTTCCTTTTCTTCGGAATTCCTCAACCAGTTTGCGCATGGTCTCGAGAAGCCAGGGTTCATTCATGGCTGATGATTGTGCAGCTTCGCCCTGCCTCCTGCCTCCTGCGGGCGCTGTTTTGCGACCAGGCCGTGGTGTCGCAATTAGCGCAGCTTCGACCAGAGACGAGGCGCGCGATGGCAGGACGGTTAGACTAATGCTGACCTGGTTGATTGCTGGAATCCCATGGAGGGGATCCTTCACTCGAAAGATGAAACCGGGCTCGACAAAAAAAGGGCCCCTTCTGGCTTCCACTCTGCGCGAGAAATGGCTGTGAGTCAAAGATCCTGCGAACATCAAAATAGGTGGCAAGTGGGGTGTTCATCCACCCCAAAATGGGATCGCCATAGGTTATGAGCCATGGCCAAATGGGTGGTGCTATGCCGGACCTCCGAAATCTGCCTCCCCGCTTCACGTCAAAAGGCCAAAGGCCTAGGGAGGCCTGGGGAGCGCAGGTCACATCGCCTGGAAGGACTGTCCGCCGGGGGAGGGATTCTTCGCTCAGCCACCCCGCGTCCAGATTTTAGTTGAACTCTGTTTTGATTTGTACACAGCGTGTCCTGCTGGAGCTGTGTGTGTTTTTTGTTTGGCTTGCCTTTGGCGCACCCAGTTTTTCGTTGGCTGTTTTCCTTGTTGCCGAGTTTTGGTGATTTGTATCAGGTCCAGTCCTCTTCCCCCTGTTTCAAATGTCTTCAAATAGTCCCTAAAGTCTTGGAGGCGTGAAATCAAGCTTGCGAATGGGGTTGAATCGACTCGTGAAGGTCCCTTAGAGATTTCTGCATGGTGAGAGTGAATTCCCATGTTCAATGGCAGCCTCTACATCCCTGTGTGTTTCGTGGCTTCCCCGCTGAACGTGGGCAACCCCAACCAACAGTTCCCTTTTTTCCTCCGGCGTCGGGTGGAGGCTTGGGACCAGGACTGGAAGCGAGGCTAGCGCGGCTCGAGACGAGAGAGGCGGGGTGCTTAAGGAAGGCATGCTGCCTTGTTAAGTCTGTCACGCGTATTTGTGCATGGCCTTCATCTTTTTAGGGGGCCAGCAAGTTTCGCCTTTTCTGGTCGGTCAACGCGGTAAGGCTTTGGTCTTGGGTCCGACCTTTGTGCATGCAACATTTTGGGCAAATACAATCGCCTGACGAACCAGCAAATTGCATTGCCTTTTGCAGGGGGTCAATCACCAATCTAACAGCTATATGTCATTTTTATAGGGAAGCCCCGAAACACGACGTAAGTCCCCCCATGTTAGTGATGTCCAGCAAAGGTCCCCAATTCTGACCCTTGGCTGCAAGGCTGGAGAGAGCGCAAGCCAAAAAGGTCTCCCAATTTCTGGGGTTGATCGATGGTTGGCGGCTTCATGATGGGGGCGTGCTTGCTGACAGTTGGGCGCGGTCTTGCGGGCCACTTTCTGGTGGCTTTTCGTGGTTGTCGCTGGGGAACATCTTACATTTTTGCTTGTTGCCACTTAACTGGTAAGCTTTCATTTTTTGCTCCCCTTCCAACGTCAACCAAGCTTTGGGGAAGTGATGAATGACTCATGGGCTTCAATCACCGCCAGTCCTTTGGGCTGAAAAGGGCGGTAGAAGCCATAGCCAACCACATAGTTGTTGTCCAAAGCCCGAAACCAGCAACATATCCATATCCCGAAGAAGTTGAAGGATCCAACCAAGCACCCCGCGCTTTCAGGACATGTTTTCGGGGAAGGCGAATTTGTTTGATCCAGTTTTTCAACTTACCACTCAAATCGGCCTTCCCCCCCAAAAAAAACGTCTATTAAAAACTGACACACCGGTTCGCCCTCCTTAAGAACAAAACACAAACACGTCCATAAGACTGACAAACGCGTTCCGCCCTCCCATTTTTTGCCGGGTGAGGGGGGTCCCCAATTCCATTCATCCAGTCTTCCCCAAGGGAACATGGAACCGCAAACGGAATTCCAGGGGGTGCCCCCGGCGTTTCAAACGCAGGGAGACGTTCCGCAGCCCGTGGCCTCCTCCACCGGCGGCGCGCCCTTCGCCTCGGCCGCCTCGGCGGCGTCGGCGGCGGCGCCCTGGACGGCGCTGGCGCAGCTGTCGTCGGCGCTGGACGGCCCGGGGGCCGAAGCGACGAAAGTGGCGAGCGGTTGGCCATGACTCGACTCGTCTGATTGAAAGATGGGATCGCCCCAAACGGATTTAGGGGACCCACACATTCATTTCCCCCCTCAGGAAGGGCGGATTCTGGACGTGAGTCGCTTTTTGGGGGACCGTTTTCGGTAGAAAACTAAAAAAGAGCAAAGCGGACGGAGCGGCGGGTTTGTGCCTGTCGGAACCCCCCCCAAAAAAAGAAACAGTGTCCGTTTTTTGGGACGGAGTGAGCCACAATCAAACCCAAAGCGAAGCTTGGGAACGGTTGCAAGCACAGGTGCAGATTCTCGGGCTGATTCTTTGCATTTTGGGTAGGCCACCTTGCCGTGCTTTGAGGGTGACGGGTGTTGGGGGGTCACACCTCGAGTTTCTTGGGCGGTTGGACTGAATGACCATCCCCAAAGATTCAATGGCCAGAAGGGCTGCATCCGGAATCTCCGGCAAAAGTCAGTTGTTTTGGCGTTTCGGTTCCTTCTTTGTTTGTTTCCGGAACTACACGAAGTTAACCACGCCCGAGTATGTCTTTGGCCAATGACAAGCTGGAAGTGGGGAAAGGTCTACTGCGTTCGTATTTCCCTAGAGCCGTTCTAGCAGGTTGCGAATTTGAAGTGAGCTCCCTTTCCGTGTGATGTGCAAACAAGACGTGTACGGAGCCCTGTTCTTCAGGGATCCATCCAACCCTCGAAGGTCCCTAGACCAAAATCAGTAAGGGTGCCCTAAAATGAGGGAGAGCGCGGAAGTGGAAGGGGAATTTTCCGGTGTTCTTTGCCATTGCCGTTGTTTTATTCCTGGCTTTTCGTTTCTAGGGATTTGTTACATTGGGTTTTGCCATAAGGCGATAGGGATTGATTCCATTGCCATGAAGCCAGGGGCAAGCATTTGCGCCCTGGTAAACTGAGCAATACCCTACCCAGCATCAGTGAAAGGGCCAAGGGGTATTTGATGCGCGCAGGCGGCAAGTATGTCCCTTGCTCGTGCCAATGCCCTTCTGAAGGGAATGTAGACATCATCAGATTTGCAAATGAAAGGCCTACAGCGAACCGTCTTTTTTTTTTGGGGGGGGGGGGCTTCACTGTTGTTGGCATGTGTTCAGCCCTTTCTTTTTTGTGGATCTGTTCATTCCTGGACCTTCCGGGAGTCAAACAGTTCAGGCGTTGGTGGAAAGTCACGCTCTTTCGTCGTTGGCGTGCAAAAATGATATTGGGGCGAAACAACACCGGCAGCGGTCGCGTCTTTTCGCCTGTTCGTCGGGCATTGTCGCCTGTTGGTCAGGAATTTTCGTCTGTAGGTTCGGGAAGGCTGCGCATAACACCCGAATTGAACCAAAAATGGCCGCAGGCAAAAATTGCGTGCTATTGCTCCCAAAAGCATTTCGTAGCAAAAAAAGTAAAATAATTTTGAGCATGCAAGAAGGTCCAGGTTTTAGTGGGATGCCATACCAAGGGTTGGAAAGAGGCGGGTGTCCATGGCCGTAATCACTACCCAAGAGATTTATCCGAGGCTCAGCCTCCATTTGATCCCTTCAGAGATCCCAATGCTGAGTTGTTTAGTTCTTTGGGTTGCCCGAACGTGTCGTTTCTCCGATTTGTCAGTAGATTTTCTCTGCATGGAAAGAAGCATTTCTGAATTTTAAGGGGGCCCGTGGGAAACCCCACGTTTGTCCCTTTTATGGAAAGACGGAGTGCTGAGAATGGCTAAGTTAGCCCGATCATTTTGTGACACCACCCTCCACTGAGGATTCGAATCCGCGATCCAGGAGGCTGAGACAAGCCTCGCCCTGTAGATGTGTCTTGGTCGGACGTCAAAACTGATACGTCACTACACATGTTTTTTCTTGGCCACTTTAGGTTTTAAACTTCCCGATTTGCGGAAGAAGGGTTGGCCTTCGCCATTTGGCAACCTGCAGTTTGCTCTTTTCCGCTTGCTTGGTTCGGTTGAAGCACCAAGTTTTTAGTTGGCACCCTTTGGGGTTGGTTAGGGATAAGGGCAACCATGAAAGGGGCTCCCCGGAATATCGAGACACCAATTGTCCGCGAAATTATTGGGGAAGATCGGGGACAAACATGCCGAGCCTTGCGCTGCATTCCAGTCGGACACCATGATGTGTTTTTCAGATTGCTGGTTTCACATGCGAATTCACCGGATCTGACCAGGTTTTCCAATGGCTTTGGAGGCAACCCGAAAAGGCGATCACATGATCTTCAAGTCAGTTTTGTTTGATTTTGCTGAGGGGGGTCCTTTTCTTTTGAATAAGTGTTTGCGCATCTTTTTGGCTGTGAGGGTCAATTTGGAGTGAGTTTCTTTAGGTGATGGAAACCTAGTCCCATTCACGAAACATAGAGCCATCGGCCATCAACGAAGGACTGTCGAGGGCCTTCGGGATGGACTGGATTGTGTTGGGAGCTGCAGGAAGATGGGAGGACTTACCAGCCAGCAGCCTTCTTTTCATTTCCATCCCCGGGTCAAATGGTTAGAAACCCTTTGTGCTACAGTCGTCATGACTGTCACGACTCAATTTACTGGCTTTTTTTTTGGAAGCAACCAACACATGACATGCTACTTGTTTGGGCCCTTGTACCCCAATTTGATGCTTCTTGTTTGCCACAGTCCTGCGTAACCGAAGGTACTCCGGCGCCGTGATTTGAACCGTGGCGCCTCGGATCGTGACCAATGCCGGCTGGAGAAAAAGAAACGCCGTGGGAGCGGTTGACGGGGACCACGCTGACCATCAGGCATACCCTGCAGATGAAATATTGACCCCAAAGCAAGGTTATTCTGCAAAAAGCTTGACTTTGGGGTTCCATGTAAAAAAATCTATGGGAATACCACTTGGCAGTCCGAACAATTGTCCTGTTTTGGAACAATTCTGGCAGGTGACTCATATTGAAAGAGGGTGTTCCAGGTGAGGAATTCCAGGACACAACTGATTTTGGTCCCCGGAAAAGATCTTCCCGTTTGCCCGCTTCTTGTAGAAGGCTGATGTCCGTCAAAACACCCTTTCACCAATAGCGAGGATGGCTATGATCATATATATATATATAGCTATATATTAAGACTGTTGGAGGCGGACCCCACCAGTACATGTCTGTTAAGCTTGGCGGCACCCTATGGGGCATCTTGGCAGAATGTAGAGGGAATGCACGGATAGAATATTTATTGTGGGACGTCCTCTCGGCTCGAGCCATGACTCCACAACGTGCATCCACAGGTCAGTGGCACCTCAGAAAATGATTTTTCGTTGGTGGGTGCCTGAAGAACGGCCACTTTCTCACTGGTTGCAACTGAAAGGGGGAAAGGAACCATGCAGCTTAAAACATCCGCCCCGTGCCATATGAAGCAGGACAAGTTGCCAACCCGGTGATGAGTGAGGTAAATATGTGTCAACTTGCTCTCTCCCCCTCCCCCGTGCCCCCCCCCCCCAAAAAAAAAAAAAGAAAAACAGAGAAAAGGTTGCTTTCCCCTTTTGGTTTCCCTTAACACCAACCTGAAATAGGTACCCTCAAAAAGCAAAACAACATATGCAGGCTAAGGAGGACGAGGAGAAGGAGGAGGGCAAAAAGGAGGACAAGGACGACAGCAGCAGCTTGACAGCTCTGGTGCAGTCCCTTTGGGCTGCTTTCGTCCATTGGAAGAGGAAACAATTCGTTGCCAGTCCATGAGTTGAGGCACAGTTCATAGAGCTTTGCCATGGTCCCCCTCGAATTGAAGCGGAACCAATGGCCAAGCGGGGCCGGGTCCCTTTTGGAAATGGAGATGTCTCTACTTTCTGGGGGTATCCATGTCAACCAGGGGAGTTGTTCGGTCTTCAAGGAACCAGCTCCAGGATTTCTGGCGGGTGCCAATGTCCACGAACTGCCCCAGTGTTTGGGTTTGCTCAAAGTCACCTCCTAAGTTTTAGGTTAAAAGGGGAGCAATTTCCAGAAACAGTCAACAGAATGACCCCAGAGCCTTAAGGGTGCTCCGCAGAAAGTGGTAGTGGCGCCCTAGGCGACGACGAGGCAGAGACGCCGAAGGCGGGCCGTCCACTTGGGTTTTGGGGCTAGAGATGGCAAATGACGTGCAAATGCAAAAGTGATGTGATCTTGTGATATTCGTGATGATATGACTAAAATGACAAAAATGACAAACATGACAAAAATGACGAAGCAAAATGCAATGTTGGGGACCTTGTGATATTTTTTCTGATCTTCAAGGCCCCCAACATTGTTTGTTGTTTGATGCGTTCAAAAGCAAACTTGAAGGGGAGTTGTGAGTTTTTCTTCAACCTCCCCCCCCACCAAAAACAAACACCAAGGGTTTGTTTGCAAAGACCAAGGGTTTACACACAAAGCGAACCACATAATTTATCAACTGGATTGATTGCTAGCGGGGCGTTCCGCTGAAAGGGTGGGGCGCACCCCGGAAATCCTCCCCCGGAAGGTTTCTGTGATGGGATCAGCTGGGGTTGTGATCTCGCAGGTTCCCTTGTTCGTCTCTGTGAGTAATTTCTGAGTGAGTCACCCGAAGTTGTGGTTCGAAAGGCGTGGTTGGGATTCTAAGGTGCCAGTGGCGTCGATCCTTTTTTCCGTGTTGAAGTTCATCTTGCTGGTGCTCAGCAGGGAATGAGGGAGTGAAGCTGGGGATTCCCTTGAAGGAATCCAGCAGTTGGATGGTTTATCTCGGGGTCGGGGTCATTCCAATTCTCATTCCCTGCATCTCTCGCACCGTCAAAATCTTGTACCCCCAGTAAACATCCCAATCCCCACTAAATAGACTAAATGCGTGGTGGGGCCACAAAAAGAAACACCTCGGTTTCCCACCGCAAAAATATCCGGCCAGGACCGAGCTGCCGCGAACCGGCGGCTTCTGCACAAGCTCAACGGCGAGGCGGGATCTCTCTGGAAATGATGTAGAGGGCGTTTTTGAGTACCCAGAGGCTCCTGGCTTCAGCTTTCAATGGAAGACCCCACCCCTCCATTAGACACCCCGGAGGTGTTTAGGACCCGCTCTGAAAACCTGGCTATTTGAGGGCCCTAATTACATCGAGAGCCTTTGGAGGAGTGGAGCCAGTGGTTCAGAGGCCCTCTTTGAAGTAGTTGATCACCTGTTTCATGTATGTAATATGTGCAGAACCCATTTTCGTGGAATCAGACGCGTGTTTTTGGGTGCAGACACCTATTTTTAGGTAGTTGATCACAGTGATAGTGCTTTACAAGCTGAGTGCTATGTTGACCACAATTTGAACGTTCCCAAAAGGAACCAAAATGGCATTGCTAAGTTTTGCCAGAGCCCCCCCCTATTTAACACCAAGTGTCGCACATTCAGGTTCACTATGGACTACGTTTGGTTGAGGGGATGGGGTGGATAAAGAATTGGCCTTGCGAGCTTCTTCAGAGCTTCTTCATCCCCAGTGGGGAATCATTGGTTTTCAACAGAGTGTCGGTGATGGGAAGCGTCAGGATACCACCGAAAGCGCTACTCCCAATCTCAACGATTTAGTGCGAGTGGCGCAGTTTCTGAACGGCTGACGAGGCCAACCACCCAGCTCATGTTGTGTGCATACACCATGTTGTTGTTTGCCAAGTATGCTTTAAACAAGCAGTACACAACCGAAACCACGCGTCATGATTGTAGACGTTGTACTATCCGAACAGCAAAACGGGGAAACACAATACAAGCAAACAATGATCTGGTTTATGTTGCACTCATATGGCCCTTCCCCTCCCAACGCCCGGACCTCCGCAAGATGCAGCGAGTCCGTTTTCTTGGGAGCACAGGGAAAGGCAAAGAACCCTGGCTCCGCAGAGTTTCAAGGATACCCACAAACCACCAGAGAAAATGCTCTAAATCAGCACCAGTCCCCTTTCCCCACTGCTTCGTTCCATGTCCAGTTCACCCCAAGCACGGAAACCAAAACGCGTTGGTTGGGGGTGGCGGGGTGGGTGGGGGGTTTGCTGGGTTTGGGGTTCTGCTTCTCGGGGGGCCTTCAACGGCTACCAGCCGCACAGGTGCTGGAGCTGCAAAAGGAGATGCGGGCGCTGATCTCCAGCAACCCCTCGCTGATCCCGGCGGTGGATGTGGCCCAGCGGCTCGCAGAGAAAACCAGCAAGGTGTTTGGAAAAAGAGACGGGAGAAACGGGAGAAACGGGGTCTAAGTGCTGTGGCGGCAAAAACTAAACATCACATGGAATCTCCAAGATCCTGGAGCCATTCTGCTGAGGTACCATTTTTTCAGCATGGTAGGTCAATTTGCTAAGGCTTAGCAAATGGATCCAGCACATGGCTGAACAAATGGAATCCTCAGAATGGCCCAGCAAAAAGCCGCAGCTTGCCCTTCTTGAGGTTTGAGCTGAGACTTGGCTATGACTTTTGTTTCATTGGGAAGGCCCAAGCCACCAGGCCCGGCCACTTCCTTCTCGCTGGGAAAGACCTGACCTGCAATAAGCCCTTCAGGCCTTGGGTCTGGTAACCTACGCTTTGGGGCTTTCAACCTGCAACCACCCAACCACACTTATCTAAACCACTTGTTGGGAGGAAGTCGGGTAGAGTTGCTTTTTTTTTGGGGGGCCATGCCGTAGACCTATAGCGTGACTCCCCCCAAAAGCCGTTGGGCCTGCTCAAGCGGCGCGGCCGTTGTCGCTCTCGCAGGAAGGCTCGGGTCTTCTCGCTGGCAGAGGAGCTGCTGGAGCAGAGCCTCGGAATGGAGATCGAAATGTGGAGGAAAACTCGGACGTCACCTTGGCGGTTCCCTGCCATCCCCAGGTGTTCAGTTGGCTCTGGGTTTAGCAGTTCAAGCCACTAAAAGTTAAACTGTCAGCAGGGGATCAGTTTGGACAGCCCAGCAATCACTACTTGGAGGTTTGGATTGGTTTGGGATTTGAACCACTTGGACACGTGTCCAAAGTACATGGGAAGAAACCGGCACCCGATTCACTTCCAAACGCCAAACGAAACCACAAATTGGAAGGAAGGAGCCGATGGGCACCGCTTGCCGGTGGATCTGGCTGGCTTGCTGACCCATGACTGATCGAGGCGAAGGATATTGTTCAGTTTTTTTTTGTTTTTGCACAGCCCAGGAAAGACCATTCTAAAAAGACAAAGGCAGACACCCGCACAAAAGTGGCGCGATCTCACGTGCCACCCTCGGCCCCTATTTTAGCACCTAGCTGTTTGAAGATCCTGGAGGTTTTGAGGCGCTTGAAGCTTGCCGCCTTTTCTTGGGCTTTGCAACCTAGGGGGTTTCTCAAGCAATACCCTTGAAACTCTTCACATGGGTTCAAGTTGATCCCTTTGGAAACCAGGCAATGGTTTCCCTCGTAAGTTGCAGTGTCCTACAGCGAGGTTAAGAGTTTAATGGATCTTAGTCCCTCAGCGAATTCTCCAGTGCCGACCTTTGTGGTCCGCCTTGGAGATTTGATCGTTCAATGTCCAGATTTTGCGGGCAAGCGAGTTTGGGACCGGGTGCAACTTCGCATATATCGTTTGCTCAAGGTCATGACTAAAGTTGACATGGCCAACCCACTGGGCTGAGCGGAGAATGTTATTGATTCATAAATGGCTTGCTTGCCTGCCTGCCTGCCTGCCTGCCTGCTTTAGTTGCTTTGCTTGCTTTGCTTGGTTGCTGGCTGGCTCCCTCGCAGATCGGTGGCACCCGTGCAATGGAATTTCTTTGGCTCATTCGCTGATTTCCTGAACTTTCAATTT